GGGCGACGGCTCCCAGAGCGAGGGCGACCAAACGGTCGGCGTCGCCATCGGGGGCAGCGGCCCTCGCCGCTGGCCGCACTGGCACGTGACGTCTCCTTCGGGCTTCGAGGTGATGTACTACGAGGTCGAGGTGGTCGATCCGGGCGAGCACGGCTACATCGCAGTCGGATGGGCGCAGGCGGGCTTCGAGCGCAAGTGCAAGCAGCCCGGCTGGACTGGCTCGTCGTTTGGCTATCACGGCGACGACGGCGGCGCCTACAGCGGCTCCGGCTTCCCGCGCCGCTTCGGCCCAAAGTTCAACCGCGCGGGCGCTGTCGTCGGGACGGGCCTCATTCGCCCTCTTGGATCGGGGGCGATGGCGCCAAAGATCTTCTTCACGCTCGACGGCGAGCTGGTCGGCACGCCCTTCTCGACCGACGAGGCGGACGAGGGCGCAAAGCCCCTCGCCGGCGCAGAGCGGCGGCTCCGCCCGTGCGTCGGGCTGCACTCGGCGGGCGAGCGGGTGCGCTGCACCTCGGCCGTACCTCGGCCGCACCTCGGCCGCACCTCGGCCGCACCTCGGCCGCACCTCGGCCGCACCTCGGCTTCACCTCGGCCGTCTCACGCGCCCGTCGCACTCAGGTGCGCATCAACTGGGGCGGCTCGGCGGCGGCCCTTCTCGAGGCGGCGCCGCTCCAGCCTCCGGACGCGTTCCGCTTCGACCTCGCCGCGTACATCTCCGCCCTCTGGCCGAGCGGCAGGCTGCCGGCGGAGGGGAGCGGCGAGGGGCGGGTGTGGAAGGCGATCGCCGCGCCGCCGCCGTCGACGTCGTCCCTGCCGCGCGCGCTGCTTCCGATGCTCGACATGCTGCCGTGGGCCGTGCAGGCCATCTTCGTGCTCGTGCTCAAGGCGGAGCCCTCCGTCGACGTCCGCTGGACCCGTAGATGCGGGCCTCCTCGGGACACTCTGGCCAGCCCCTGGGGCTGCACGCATTCGACTGCCTCGTACGCCATTCCACACACCCCCTCCCTCACCCCCTCCCTCGCATCTCCTTCTCCAGGAGCTGGACGAGCTGCGCCACTTCGCCGCGATGCACTTTGGCGGCGAGGACGGCACACTGCACCCCTCGTGGGGCGCGCGGACGGTGCGCGAGCTGCCCGTCGACGCGCTGCGCCACTTGGTGCGCATGCTCATCGAGCACACGGCGCAGTTGCGGGAGGATGAGGACGACGACGACGAGGAGGAGGAGGAGGAGGACGAGGGCGACGACGAGGACGAGGACGAGGACGAGGACGAGGGCGAATGAGTAGATCGACCTTTGGAGCCGAAAACAAATGGAGCCGAGAATGTTCTGTAAGTGTACGTGGCTGGGTTCACAGCGATTGTAGGAAAGTGTCGGGACACTTGACGGTCGCGGCCTTCCGACTCGCGCCTCCGCCTCACTGCACACTGGCACTATTGTAGCCCTGGCCGGTGCGCGTGCGGAGTTGAAGTTCCGGAGTGAAAATTCGAACGCGTTCTCTCACGGTGACCAAAAAATGTCCGCCTCAGAGGCACCTCCGCGTCCGGAGGCAGGCCGCCGCACCCCGCGCACGCCGGCGACACAGCTCCAGCTGTCGAGCTGACCCACAGCTCCTCTCAGAGCGGGAACTGTGACAAAAGTTGACTGAGGCGGTTGTCAGGAATCATCATACGGATCACATTGTGGCTCTTTCATGACGGGAGACCGCCCGACCACTCCTGGGTGGCACTGCCACCGGTGTCGCTCGACGTCCTGTTGACAGCGTGCCGACAGCGACACAGACCATGTGGGACGCGTCGAGTATCGACCTCTACTGCTTACCCAGCCTTCGAGTGTATCCTGGCTGTGGTCCCACACCCACTGGTGTCCATCTCAGAGACCGCAGGAGGTCATGAGGGTCGATGGGAGTGCCAACCCCACAATGTCTAAAATGTAAAAACCCAGCCTGGTACAAGTATTGTTCTTTCGACTTTCCTCGCACCTAGCCTCGCACCTCTTCGCTGCGGTGCATTTCGTTTTCTCCTTTGAAAACGGCGAAATTTAATGAAGGGGGTGTTCTATGACCCCTCCCTCCACCTCGTGGGGTGATGCTCCGATAAACCCGCCGGATCTTCGACAAAAGCAGGGACATTTCTTTTTTGGAAGGGTAGGTGTGAATACAGCTTTCTGGTTTTAGGTATATTGTTGGAAAATCAAGACACAGAGCTCACACAGAATCACAGCGGGAGGAAAGCGGCGAGTCGCAATTCCTGGGGTCCTTGTGGCGGGCCACCCTGTCCAGAGAGGCATGGATGCCAATCTGGGGTCTCTCGACCGAGTCTATGAGCCCTGGCCGCCTCCCGCCGGGTGGCAAGGTTAGAAAACCAAGCAACGGAGATGGTGCGGGAGCGCACGGTTGTTCCAGGGGGTCACGACACGCACCGACCCTTCACGAACCGAACAGCTTTCTGGTAGGGTTACATCGACGAACTATGCGGCAATCGACTGGGGGGCAGCCCCCCAGCACATCCCCGCACAGAGACCTGGATGTAACCCGATTGTGAGCGTGAGTGAAACCGCCGATGCTCAGTCAGTGACCGACTGTCAGTCAGCAGCAGACTTTGACGATTGGCGGCCTCGCGCCCTCAGTCGCCCTCCTCTACTGACGGCCCTGCCCCAGCCCAGATGCCTCATCCAGGGTGGTGCAACCACTCGCGCAGGGAGGGAGAGACAATCGGCGATCTGCGCCGCGCAGATGAGCTCCGCCTCGTCTGCGTCGAGGACGTCCACCGCAGGGCTATCATAGCGCCATAGACGCACTGCCTGTTGTTCATTACTTCGCAGGTGCCAACGTCGAGGACAATCTCACTGGTGGCGGCTGCACTCCCGGCCGGCGGTAGGAGAGATGAAGGCTAATGTACTTGGCAGTGTACGGGGCCTTCCAGCGCGATGAGGTGGTCGCGGCGCTCGCGACGGAGTTCAAGGCAGGGGAGCGGGAGAGATTGAGCTGCTGGGACGCGGGGCGCGGTTCTGTTTGCGGTGTCCCATTCCCGGGGTGGGAGGATTGGGTGAGGGAGGGGCGGGTCCTCCTCTTTGAGGGGGACCTGGAGGAGTTGCGGAGCGGCCCGGCCCGCGGCGCTGGCGGGGGGGGCAGGAAGTCCCGCGACGGGCGCCGGCGGGGGGCGCGGCGGGAGCGACGGGGGGGGGAGGGGATGGAGTCGGAGGATGATGGGGATGGTCCTCTCGGCGAGCACCACGGTGCTCGCGGATTCGACCATCCGCCTGACTACCATTCCGACGACGCCTTCTGTGAGGAGGACGGCATCTGTGAGGGAGGGCGACGGCTTCTAAGCCGTCGCCTTTGCAGTGCCAGTCCCGTACCCGGTGTATAAATAAATAGAGATGGGCAACGCACGAACACAGAGGTACAGTGCGCACCCCGCCCCGCTCACAGGGCGTGCATACCCGGTGTCGTGCGCTTAGAATTCTTTTCTCGCGATGTCCACCCCGCCGCGCCGCTCGCGCAGCCTCGCCCCCGCCGCCACCGCCGCTCCCCCGCCCAGCACGCCACCGCCCGCCCACCTCCTCGATCTCCCCACGGAGCTCCTCGTGCGCGTCGTCTCTCGCTGCGACCCCGTCGACATCGCTCGCGTCGCGGCCGTCTCGCTGCTCTTCCAAGCCTCGCTCGCGGTAGAGGCCATCCGCTTGTGGGCGCAAGAGCGCGGCTTCGAGCTGCCGGCGCAGCCAGAGGGCGAGGGCTGCGCCGTGCGGTGGCTGTACTTCGCTGCGCTGCTGCGCGAGACCAACCCGCCGGCGAGGCTTGCGGCGGGCGCACAGCACAGCGTTTTCATCGACGGCGAGATGAATGGCGCCGTCTGGAGCTGGGGCGGTGGAGCCTTTGGCTAGTTGGGCCACGGCGACACGCAGAACCAGCTGCAGCCCAAGAAGATCGAGGCCTTTGCTGGCCAGCGCGTCGTCGCTGTGTCGGCAGCGCAGTGCCACAGCCTCGCCCTCACCGCCGACGGCGCTGTCTGGGGCTGGGGCTGGGGACGGTTTGGCCGGTTGGGCCACGGCGACGAGCAGGACCAGCTGCTGCCGAAGAAAGTCGAGGCCTTTGTTGGGCCGCGCGTCGTCGCCGTGTCCGTTGGATACGGCCAAAGCCTCGCCCTCACCACCGACGGCAGCCTCTGGAGCTGGGGCGGTGGAGCCTGTGGCAAGCTAGGCCACGGCGACCAGCAGCGCCAGCTGCTGCCGAAGAAGATCGAGGCCTTTGCGGGGCGGCGCGTCATGGCGGTGTCGGCGGGATACTTTCACAGCCTTGCCATCACCGCCGACGGCGCCGTCTGGAGCTGGGGCTTTGGTCTCTCCGGCAGGTTGGGCCACGGCGACGAGCAGAACCAGCTACTGCCCAAGAAGATCGAGGCGTTGGCGGGGCGGCGCGTCGTCGCTGAGTCGGCTGGAGATGCTCACAGCCTCGCCATCACCGCCGACGGCTCCGTCTTTGCTTGGGGCAAGGGCGGCAACGGCTGCCTTGGCCACGGGGAGGACCTGTCGGACCAGCTGCTGCCCAAGAAGATCGAGGCGTGGGCGCCGGGGCAGTGAGGTATCGGGGGGCTCTGCACGGCGGGCCGTTTAGTGGCTCAGCTGCACTAAAGAGGAGCTTGTTGGAGTCGATCAGCCCGCGCGGTGTGCGGCGGGGTGTGAGAGCATGTGTGTGGGAGCGCGTCGGGTCGTACCGCCATGTTCGAATCCTGCAGTGTTGTGTCGTCGCCTAAGAAAACGTGCGCACGCGAAAAGAATTCTTCCGCGCGCGAGCTTCTAAAATGTAAGATTCTAAAATTCGGCGCTCGGCGCCGCGCTCGGCGCTCGGCGACTCCTCCGACATTCGCTTGCCTCCGACGCTAGCCTCCGACACTCGCTAGCCTCCGACATTCGCTAGCCTCCGACGATCGCTAGCCTCCGACGTTCGCTAGCCTCCGACACTCGCTAGCCTCCGACACTCGCTAGCATCGACTGTGCGATGCCCTCGCCCTGCGGCCGCCGCTGCCTCCTCGTTGCCTGCGTCGCTTACGGCCTCTTTGCGAATCACTGGGCGCGCGACTCGCTCGGCGCGCTCGAGGTGCCGCTCGAGTCTGACGCGCCGTACACTCTCTCCGCCCGGCGGTACAACGCTCTCACCTCGCTCTACTTCCTGCCCAACATCGGTGTCCCCATCCTCGCCGGCGTCCTCGCCCACCGCTTTGGCGCCGCCGCGACCTACGCCGCCTTCTTTGCGATCGCAGCCGCGGGCAACGGCTTGGTCGGTGCCTCGGTGGCGGCGGGCGGCGGCGGCGCATTCGGCCTTCTGCTCGTCGGCCGCGCGCTGATGGGTATCGCGTATGAGGCGGTGGACGTCCTCCCGATCGGCTTCGTCTCGCCGCGCTTTCGAGACACGTGGACGGCGCTCGTCGGCCTTCTCAACGGCGTCAACCGCCTCGGGTCCGTGACCAACTTTCTGCTCGAGCCGCTCCTGTACCGCGCGGGAGGGCTACCCTTGGCCCTCTCCGTGCCGTCGGCCGTGGGTGCGTCTGGCCTGCTCACCGCGCTGCTCGCTTGGCGGGTCGACGCGTCGCTCTCGCGCGCCGACGAGGCGGCGGCGCAGCGGGCCGAGGAGGAGCCTCTGCGGACGAGCCTGCGCAGCCTGCCGCGCGTCTTCTTCCTCTTCCTCCTCGGCGGCGCGTGCGTGTACGGTGCGGTCGTGCCGTTCTGGTTCATCGGAGCCAAGCATCTGCAGTCGAGGTCAGCTTAGATCACCCGAGATCAGAGATGGTCCGAGATCGGAGCCAAGCATCTGCAGTCGAGGTCAGCTTAGATCACCCGAGATCAGAGATGGTCCGAGATCGGAGCCAAGCATCTGCAGCAGTCGAGGCCTGGCTGGTGGCGTGGGAGGGAGAGACGAGGAGAGGGCGAGTCTTCACGCTAGCCGCACGCGCGTCAGGTTCGGCATGCCTCTCGCAACCGCAGACGCGCTGCTGCTGCTGCCCGAGGGCATGATCGCCCTAGTCGCCCCTCCGTTTGGACTGCTGATGGACCGGCGCCGCTGGAGCCTCACCAAGCGGCTGTACTGGTCGGCCGCCTCGCTGGCGCCGATCCCCGTCGCCCTCCTCCTCCTCGCTTGGCTCGGCCCGGCCGGTGGCGCCCCGGCATTAGCACCAAACGTGACCACGCTGGCCGCTGGCAACAGCCCGCCTCCCGCCGCTCCCAACCTCCTCGCGCCCGCCCTCGCAACCCTCGTGCTCGGGACTGGGTACGCCTTCGCCCAGAACCTGATTTGGGCATCGCTCACGCTGGTCGCGCCCCCGAAGCTGCTGAACCTCTGCTCGGGCGCCCACACGTAGCCGAGATCTTCGCCGAGCTCTAGCAGTCAAGCTCTGCCGGAGAGAGAGGCGTGAACAGCCGAGAGGAGTGAGCGTTCTAGCGTCCGCGTAGGCCTCACTGGCAGCAGTCTCAACTTGCTGCCCTCCGCGCTGCCCCTCCTTTTCTTCGGCGCGAACTCCTCAACCAACCTCGCCACCCTCGCCGCCGTCGGAGCCGTCGGCGTTGCCGCGTACTCGTGGGCTGCCATCGAGAGCACAGCGCGGGACCGCCCGTTGCTGCCAGCCGCCGCCACGGTCGCCGCGGCGGCGCCGCTCACCGCCGCGCCCGATGGCGACGATTTTGAGGAGCGATTGGACGCGCTCGTAGAGGAGGCGGTGCAGGGTGAGCGGCCAAGGCGGACGGCGGGTGGTGGGGGGAGGGCCGCCGGGGCAACGGGGGGCGAGGACGCGCCGCTCACGAGATGACAAACAAAATCCACCCGCCTTCGTTGTATGTTCGACCCGTTCGGGTTCGCTCTCATAAATATAAAATGAACGCTCAGAGACAAAAGTCAAACTCTCTGACATGTGTGCGCTAGGGCCTGCTACTGTGCACACGCGATGTCCCCCGCCTCCCCCGGCGCCCCGCCCCACGTCGTCGTCGACCTTGGTTGGTCCTTGGCAGCCGCCCAACGACCCGGTGTGGCGCCGCGCTGGCGGTGAGCGGTGTGATCCTCGAGGTATGTGGTCTCTGGGGGGAGGCGGGGGCCCCCGGAGGCACCGTGCGCCGCGCCGCAGTGCGGAAACGGGGCCCCGGCGCTCATATACTCGCTCATACCACCAACTTTAATCAGAGGGCAGATTTGGAGAGATCTCGAGGAGTACATACAGATAGACCCTCCAATCATCAGAAAACTCCAACCTGATCGGTCGTACTGACCGCCGACAGATCACTCCAGACAGCAGACAGGCCGACGTCTGCACGCGGCCGGCCGGGCGAGAGGCTTGGGACACGATCCGACCCTGCGACGCTGACGCTGCTGCGCTCTAGCTATCAGACATGCGCTGCTGACTGCTGCCACAATGTGCGACCGATGCTGACCCACTTGGCGGCCTTCCCGGTCAGTGGTGAGGCGCAGTTCAGAGCTGTCGATGGCGCGATGCCGCACTGGTCCCACATTGGTGACACGAGACCACCACGTTTGCCGGTCCAAGAGAGAGGCACCGGCGCTGTCGTGAGAACGTGCATGGTCCCTCTTGACTGCCCATGCGCGCGAGGCTGTGTAGGCATAGCCTCGAGAGTGCCAGCAGCCAATCCGAGGCGACGCGCATTGCGTCAGAAGCGTGCACGCGCTGGAAGGACACCTTCCTACTGGCCGTACGATCAGGTCGTCACTGAATGCTGGATACTAAGGCCGCGAGCTATGCAGGTGGTCAATTGTGCAGCAGGGCACGGTCAGCAGCGCCGACAGGCTGTCGCAAGGCGTGATAGCATGGTTGGTCGCAATACGCGAAATTCTCATGAAAACAAGCAATCGCGCAAAAGAGAAAATCGAGAAAAAATCGGCGCCTGCGGCGGGCCATGGGACCCCATCTTCCCCCCGCATGGGTACCCCCTAGGGGCCCCGCCTCCCCTCAGAGTATGTGGTCTCACTCTGTTCCACGTTCACAGTAGGATAAGAGCATAAGAGACACAAGAAAGCTGCTCCGCCGGGATGGCCTCCCTCCCGACCACGTAAAAGAGAATTCTTTCCCCTCCACACGCAGAAGTCGCTTGCAGACTCCTGCCGAAGAGCCAGCCGACACGCTCACACTACAGCACCAATGCGACTTCCGAGACCACCACATGCCCCACCGCTGGCGCCGATCGCACGCGCGGCGGCCTCCTCGCTTGCCTCGGTGCTGCTCGCCTCGTCGCTCCTCGGAGGAGACGTCGGCCCGCAGCTCGGCCCGGCTGCAGCCTTTGCGTCGCAGCCGCTGACCGAGGAGCAGAAGCTGGTGGCTGAGGCGTGGCGGGTGACGGACCGCGAGTTTGTGGATCGCGAGTTTGGGGGGCAGGACTGGTTCTCCGTCCGGCAGAAGATGCTCAAGCAGCGGTACGACTCGCGCGTCGACGCATACGACCAGGTGCGGGCGATGCTGGCGGCGCTGGACGACAAGTACACGCGCTTCCTCACTCCGTCGGCGTACGACGCGGTCTTCGCCACCGCGACGGGCGGCGTCGTCGGCATCGGCGTCGAGCTTCAGACCGAGACGGAGCCGTCGAACCGCGTGACGATCAACAACGTCGTGCCGGGTGGGCCGGCGGACAGGGCCGGGGTGCGGCCAGGCGACGAGATCGTGAACGCGGACGGGGAGGACTGCACGCGGCTGTCTGCGGAGGAGGCGTCCAAGTACGTGCGCGGCGCCGCCGGCTCCAAAATTGGGGCCTGGGGGTTCCCTCTCTCCCCTTACCCAAAAAAAAAGGGTTTTTTTTTTTAAAGAGGGAAAAGGCCCCCCGGCAAAAACAACAATTGTTTGGAAGATCTTTCCCCCCCCCTCATTTCTATCAATATCTTTTCCCCCCCTTTTTTTTTTTCCTTTTTTTTTCCCTTTTTCCTTCTATCCCTTTTTCTTCCCCCCCCCCCCCCCCCCCCTTCTCTCCCCCCCTCTCTCCCTCCCTCTCGGCTCCCCTCCGACTGCTCTGAGCCCGCGCCCGCGTCCCGAGCCCGCGCCTCCCTCCCCGCAGGTGAAGCTCGCCGCAGTCACAAAGTCTTCGGCTACACTTGGAGGCGTCCCCGTCGGCTTCGTCACGATCCGGCAGTTCTCGACGTCCGCAGACAGCCGCGCCGCCCAGCCCACCCGCCCCGAGGCCGCCTCACGCCTCCCTTGCGCCCCTCCAGGTCGACAGCCGCCGACGTCAAGGCCGCCCTCGCCGACGTGCTCGCCAAGCGACCTGCGGCGCGCCGCCGCCCCTGCGGACTTCCCCTCCTTCGGGCTGCCGCCGCGCCGCCGCGCCGCGAGCCCCGTCCCGGCTGAGGAGCGGTGCGCGGCCGTCCGCAGGCCCTGGTGCTCGACTTGCGCGGCAATACCGGAGGCTACTTTACGGGCGGCGTCGACGTCGCGCGGCGCCGCCTCTCGCCCTCCCGCCCGCCTCCCGCCCCTCCCGCCCGCCTCTCGCCCCTCTAGAGCCCGGCCCCTCCCCGCAGGCTGCTGCTGCCCAAGGGACGGCCGATCACGTTCGTGACCGACAACCGTCGCAACGTGGTCACCTACGAGACGTACGACGACGGCACGCACGCGGAACCGCCTCGCGACACGCCCGCGACATGTCCGTGACACGTCCGCGACACGTCCCGCAGGCATGGACACGGAGACGCCCCTCTACCTGTGCGCCTCACTCTGGCGCGCCGATGCCTCCCCGCGAGCCATACCCCTTCACGCCGCGCGGCGCTCGCTCCCTTCTCGCCGCAGGCTCGTCGACTCGCGCACCGCCTCGGCGTCCGAGATCCTCTCGTCGGCGCTGCAGGACAACGGGCGGGCCAAGCTCATCGGCTGCTCTGGCGCGCGACCGCGGGGGAGAGACGGGCGCCGTCGCACTTCCGACGCCCGACACCTCCCCTCCCCCGCCGCAGGGCCGAGGACCTTTGGGAAAGCGGTCATCCAGACTGTCTCGCCGCTGTCGGACGGCTCGGGCATCGTTGTCACGACCGCGCGCTACCAGACGCCGCAGCGCACCGACATCAACAAGAAGGGCATCGCGGTGGACATGGAGAAGGACTGCCCCATCTCGACCGAGGCGGCCAAGTGCTTGCCCAGCAAGCTGGTGTGAGTGCATCTCTGGGGAAGCGCAGGCCGCACACCCTCGCGCCCCCATTTTTGTCCGTGCATGACTGGACCGGTCCGGGTTTGTTTCCGTCTGTGGTTTTTCCATAATGTCATTTCGTACAATGATACGTCAGTACATGCCCCAGAGTACATGTGCGTACGGCGGCAGACACCGCGCTTAGAGCCCCGTAACTTTCACCATACCCCAACTGGTGAGCAACCATTGAAAGAATGAAAGCAACCAAATTCCACGCGACCGCACACTCCGAACTCAGGGAATGTATGTGCACCCCCCTCCCCGTACCGCCCATAACGCCGCCCTGACTCCCGCGCGCTGCTACGCCCCCCTTGTAGGTCCGTCGTCACGATCGGCGACGTGGACGGCGACGGCCACGGACGTCGTCTTCGGCGGCACAAAGGGTTGCTACGTCCTGTGGAACGAGCCAAACGCCGACGGCGGACGCGCCCTCCTCTTCGCGTCCGGGCTGCCGTCCGAGCAGCCGTCCATCTTCGGCCTGGCCGACGGCGGCACCGACGTCTTCCCCGGCACACGCAGGTCCCAGGTCGGGGCGGTCGCCCTGGGCAATGTCTTTGGGAACGGCCGCGTCGACATCGTGATCGGCCACCAAACCTTCAAACGGCGGTCCGCCCGAGCTGGTCGAAAACACGGGCAACCGCGGCTTTGGGAGCGTCGTCCCGCTCGACCCGCCAGGCTGGATCGACGTCAACGCCATCGCGCTACTCGCGCCGCCTGCGCCGCCGCCGGCGCCCCTCGACTGCGGCTCCTTCTCGCCCTGCGAGGACGGGGAGTGCACCGACGCGCCCCCCAACCTGAACCCGCCCGGCCCAAGCGAGCGCAACGTGTGCGTCGGCAAGAGCGGCTGCGTGGTGATGACGGGTGGGTACGGCTACTGGCTCTGCTGCTCCCCCTCGGAAGACGGCACGCCGTGCCTCCGCCCGAACAAGCAGTACGATAATCCGTGCGCGGCTCCCCGGCGGGCTAAGTGTGGCACGCGGCCAAACACTCAAGTCACCCTCGCTCGTCTGTCTCGCTAGGTACTATCGCGATGAGTGTCTCGCGTTTGGCTGCGGCGAGTGAAGACGCGCCCGGCATATCTCCTCCCTAGAGCCCCCCCCCTCCCCCCTCCCCCTCGGCCCCTTGCGTTGGGACACTGCCGAGCCGGGTGGTGCCACCTGCCTGAGCCTTCTGCGCCTCCTCGCTATGTAGAAGCAAACTAGGATACCCGCTATAGCGATCAGCAGCCCAAGCACCGACATGACGATAATGATCGTTGTATTGAGCTGGCAGTGATTTGAGCATGGCGAGGCGGAGCAGACTTCTCCGGAGGGCAGGCCGCTGTTGTCAAACCAACACATGCTTCCGGAGCAGTCTTCAGGGACGTTCGCCGCGGCGCAGCAGGTGTAACCGGAGCCCGCCGTGCAGACCTGGCCCAAGACCGAGCAGTCCCAGCTTGGACAGCTGGGAATCTGCCCTGGTGCTAGCGGCGGCAGCAGCGGCGGCGGCGGCGGTGGCAGCGCAGGCGGTGGCGGCGGCGATAGCTGTGGCAACAATGGCGGTGGGACTGCGGGCGAGGCGGAGCAGACTTCTCCGGAGGGAAGGCCGCTGTTTTCAAACCAACACATTCCCGAGCAGTCACCGACGTGCTCAGGGAGGACCGCGGCGCAGCAGGTGTAGCCGGAGCCCTCCGTGCAGACCTGGCCCAGGACCGAGCAATCCCAGCTTGGACAGCTGGGAATCTGCGGCGTCGGCATCGGCTGCCGACGATGTTGGAGATTGGCCTCACCTCACGGGTCGCTCGAGGGAGAAGGAGGCCCGCGCGCGGATATCGGCGTGTAACGCTCCTCACGAGTAATTTCATGCGCCGCAAGTGAAAGAAACGAAACAATGCTCACTGGACGACCAGGTCACTGAAAAAGAATTCCATTGGCGGCCCGAGAGAGGCCGCTGTCGCCGGCCCAGGCCGCTGTTTCACGCGGAGGTACACACACGTCCCCCCGTGTATATGGCCGCCGCTGCCCGCGCCGCCGCCCTGCGCGTCACGCTCATCTCGGACACCATATGACCCTGGTGCTGGGTCGGCAAGCGCCACCTCGAGTCGGCCGCGTTGTCGGCCAAGGTCGCGCTGGACGTCGACTGGCAGCCTTTCTACCTGAACCGGAACACGCCGGCCGAAGGCGAGGACCTGATGGAGCACCTAACGGCCAAGTATGGGCCGGCGGCAGTCGCGCGCTTCGACGCGCCCGACAACCCGCTTGACTGCGCCGCCGGCAAGGTCGGCATCAGCTTCAACAAGCAGCGTCGCATCATCCGCACGGGCGACTCGCACCGGCTCGTCGAGTGGTGCAAGGCGACGCAGCCGCAGACGGTCGACCCACTAATGGAGACGCTCTTCAAAGCCTACTTCGAGGACGCCCGCGACCTCTCGCGGCGCGAAGAGCTCGTGGCGTGCGCGGCCGCGTGCGGCCTCGATGGCGAGGCCGCGGGCAAGGCGCTTCACTCGGACGCATTCCAGCGCGAGGTGGACGCCAAGGCGACGGGCTGGTCGCGGCAGGGCGTGCGCGGCGTCCCATTCTTCGTCGTGCACCCGGCGAGCGGCAACGGCGAGCCGGTGGCCTTCTCTGGCGCGCAGCCGAGCGAGGTCATCGCCGAGGTGCTGGCCGAGCAGGCGGCGGCGTGAGGAGATCGGCGGCGAGCCGTGAGGGCGGGCGCGTCCCCAGCATGCGCGCGTGTGGAGGCGACTCTATGACGGCCGCACCCGAAACCGCACAGCTGCGGATGCGGTGCTAGCCCGAGACCGTCCGACCTCTTTGCCTGCGCGGCGTACTTGCACTCGGAGTGCAGTTGGCAACCTCACATCAGGGCCGCTTTCGAATTTTTCTTTTTTCACTTGGGCGGTTCGGGCGAGTTGGTTTACCAGCCAAGACGGCTCGCTGCTCCGTCCCGCTCTCCCTGACATGCGCGGCGGCGGCGGGCTCGAGGTCGGCTTCTGTGACTCTGCGTCGGGCAGCGGCTTTCTCCCTGTGCAACCTGCCGACCAGCTCGAGCGGTGGGCGCCGCCGATCGACAACGGCTCACACCTGTTGATCCCGTGGTCGCCTCATGAGTCTGCGTGCGGACTCAACGTGAGCACGTATTTCGTCGACGTGCGCACCTCAACACCTCTGCTAAACGCATTCATCGGCGCGTTCGGCACCTTCCCGCAAGACCTTTGCGACCCGTCGGGCTCCAAGGCGAGGGAGGCCGCGAAAGCGAGCCACCGGTCGGCCTGCGCGCCGTACCCTCGCCGGTGCGCCTCCGCGCCGGAGCGGGCGCCATATCGGGTCGCCTCGTTCGAGGTGCCGGCGGCGCTGCGCCAGCTGGCGAGGCTGGACATCGAAGTGACGGTCCGTGCATACGGCTCTCTCTCTCCGCTCGGCCAGCCGGAGAGGCGCACGCGAGCCGTGTGGTGGTGTCACAAGTACCGCCGCAGCAGCGGAGGCGCCCCCTCGCCTGCTCCCGCCGGCAGTAGGCCTTCGGGCCGAGCGCTCGCCTCTCGCCTAAGCCGCGCCTGGCGAGGCTTGCGCAGCTGGCGAGGCCCGCGAGGCCAGAAGGCGGACCAGCCGGCACGGGCGCGCGTACGAGTCGAGATTACCCGAGATTACCCGATATTACTACTAATAATAGGAGGACAGCCGGCACGGGCGCGCGTACGAGTCGCACCGCCGCTCGGCACGCCCGCCTCGAGCCGTGCCGCCCAAGAGGAGCCTCGCCCCTCCATGGCGTGTGACCCGGCGTGTGTCCCGCGAGCAGGCGCTCCTCCTCGAGCCGTCTCTAGTCGCCGCCTCCGCCGCCGCCTTCCTCGCCGTACTCGAGGCTTTAATTGGATTTCTTTAATTAATTATTCAATCTTTAATTCATTTAATCTTCCTCGCCGTGCTCGAGGCTCGCCGGCGCGTGGAGGAGGGGCGGCGGGCGGACGCAGCGGGCAGGCCGCGGCCGGCGCCTCCCCCCTTCCGCAGCCGGCCTCCGCCCGGCCGAAGATGGCTCCTCAGGCGAGGCGCGGAGGAGCGGGGCGCCCGCCCTCCGACCCCCTGGCTGGAGGCGGCGGCGGCGGCGGCGCTGCAAATGGCGGGCGTGCTGCTCCCGTGTGCGTTTGTCCTGCTGGCGCGGGGCGCGACGCTGGCAGACCTGGTCGGCGAGTCGCCTATCTCCGCGGCGGCGAGCTTCTGGCTCACGGCAGAGCGGAGCGAGATCGCGCGGCCGATGCACCCGCCGCAAGGGCTCGCCGCTCGCGCGTCGCTTGGAGCCTCCGGAGCTTCGCTTGGGATCGACTGGTGCGCGCTCGGTGCCCAAACGCTGCTGTGCGCCGCGCTCGCGCCAGCGCTGGCTGCGGCGGCGCGCTCCGCGCGAGAGCGGGGCTGGGACGGCCGTTTGGGCCCTCTCGTCGCTTGGCACGCCTTCGCGCTTTGGCGGTGGGGCGTCCTGTTTGCTTGGTGCTTGCCCGCTCTCACTCGCTCGCACGGCGGCACCGCCGCGGCAGTCGCCGTCCTCGCCATCGCCCTGGCCGCCGAGCGAGTCTCCATGCCGCGCAGCCGAGGAGGAGAGGCTCCCGCGGCGTGGGCCCTGCGCTGCGCGCCGCTGGCTGCGCTCGTGGCAACGGCGGCGGCATGCGGCACTTTTCTCGCCGCGTGCCCCGCGGCGTGGGCTGTCGACCAGGCGACGGCAGCGCTCCGCTCCCAGCCACGGGACGCCTCCGTCGGCTGGAGAGACGTCGGAGTGCAGTTTGGAGCGGCGGCCGCGGCGGTCGTGGCCGTGCTGGCCGTCTGCGGGGAGGCTCTGCCTCTTGAGGCTATGCACGTGAGCCTCTAGAGGCGGGTTGGGAATATAACCTGCATGTACGACTACGAGTATAACGGACCCACGTACTCCAGAAACTACGTTCCACTGTTGCGCGCTTGCGCCGGCCAGACCCGGGAGTTGTAGCCCCGGCCCGGCAACTGCTCTTTTGCTCGGGGCGGACTCGACTGTATGTCCTCCACAGCGCAATCCATCTCTCTCTAATGTCAGACCAAAGCCTCGACGTCCCTGCGGCTGAAGACGAGGTCAGCCTGGTCGCAGCCGGCGGGCAGCTCGTCGGAGCGCAGCCGGCGGGGCGGCGGAGGCGGCGGCGGCGGCGGCAGCGCTCTTCGGATCTCGTAGTCGTCGTGCGCCAGGAGGTAGGGCCAGAAGCCGAGGGCTCGCATGTGGCGCAGCAGCTGGGGAACGCTGCTCCCCTGCAGCGCGAGCCACCGCGGCGTCACCTCGACCACCACCTCGAGCGTGGGCGGTGCGTCGCGCAGCAGCGCAGCCGCGCCGCGCAGCACCGCCCACTCCCCGCCCTCGACGTCCACCTTGAGCAGCCGCGCAGTGCGCACCTGCTCCTCGCTGAGCAGCGCGTCGAGCGGCGCGGCGCGCACCTTTCGGGGCGCGGCGAAGGGCGTGTCCAGGGAGGGCCTAGGACGTGCCTTACTACACGTCCGCAGTGCCGATCCCTTTGGGAAGCGCGTGAGGAGTCTGGGAGCTGTTTTGGAGGTGCTGTTCTGGAAGCGTCTGGAGCGGCGTGCCCGCGTCTCTCTCCACACGCCGCCGCCCGCCAGGCGCGACACCTCGCCCATGGCGCCGCTCGCGCCCGCTCCGCCGAGCGCGCCGAGCGCGCCGCTCCCCTGCAGCAGCGCCCACACATCGGTGCCCGCCGCCACGCCGCCTGCCCCCGCGCCGGCCACCGTCGTGTTGTACAGCGGCTCGCGCTTGTGCTGGTAGAGCGTGAGCTCGCCCTCGGCGTCCGCGGCGGCCGCCTGCACCGCCTCGACCGTGAGCCCGGGGTTGAGTGCCACGTTCGCCACCAGCCGCTCATGCGTGCGCGGGCAGGCCTCGACGGCGACGACGCTGCCACGACTACCGACCCTCGCGGCGCCCAGCAGCGCAAAGTAGCCCGTGTTGGCGCCCACGTCGATGAGCGTGTCGCCCGGCGAGAGCGCGCGCAGCAGGTAGCTCGTGAGGGCGGGCTGCCACACTCCCGTCAGCAGCAGCCACTCAGACAGAATGTCTGCCTTGTGCGAGCCGCCGAGCTGGAAGCAGCGGAGCCGGACGGCTTCGCACGCCCGGAGCGGTACGACCGCGTCGTCAAAGGGCGGGAGTGTAGGAAGGAGCGAGCGCGTGCAGAAGGCGAGCAGCGAGCGCTGGCCAAGTCGAATTGGCGTTAGGCGCAGGTAAGCAACGAGGGCGCCGAGCAGGCGGCGGGCCAGAGGCGGGTGGCGGCCGAGAATGACGAGCGCACTGTCGAACCAACGGCCGAGCAACCGTGCGAGCATCGTCTGTGCGTGAAATTCGACAGCGCTTTCGAGGCTTGGAGTGGGCCCGAGTGCGGGGTTGGTCAGAGGCGGCAGGGGTGCGCCGAGCAAGCCTCGCGCGAAGACCCGCCTGAGTATTTCTTCTTGTGCTGCACCCTAACAAGCTCACTCACAATAAGGGCAGGTGTGGGGGGATCCGGATGACAGCAACCATAGAAGCCGATACGTACAATCGTCGTCACACGACATTTAGGTCATATCTTCTCCTCGGACCTCGCTCTTCGACAAGAGTCGACAACACAACTGATTTCTTGTTGGTTTCCAATCTCTCTCTCTTCGACAGAGTCATTAAGCCGTACATACACTGAAGATCGAAGTAAAGAAGTCAGAGAGAGCACTCACGGCACACAAAGCTCTCGCGCTCCCTGTCACCCTGAGCTACAAACAGAGGCGCCATCGAGGAGCGACACACTGCGGGGAGAGTCCGCTGACATGGCCGCAGCACCGCTCGAAGAGCTGCCCACCTACTGCACGGCCGAATCCACCCCCAGAGACCGCTGACACGCCCTCCCCTTCGGCCCTCAGCCCTCGTCGTGATCGTCGTGATCAGGAACCTCGTGGTCGGGCTCGTCGTGGTCGGGGTGCATGTCGTCGTACCTGTGGGAAGAGGCGAACGCGTGTGGGCCAATTCTCCCGCCCAGGCCCGGAAGGGAGCAGAGGCAGTCACCTGTGGTGATAGTCGTCGTGGTGGTAGTCGCCGTGTCGGTAGTCATCGTACCTATCGCGGTCGCGGTAGTGGCCGCCGTCGTCGTCCATCATGTGGTGGCGGTAGCGGTCGTCCGGCTCGTCATCGGGCGTCTCCGGCCGTGCATTCGGGTCTGCCGGCCAGCAGCCGTTCTGGCAGCCGAGCGCGACCGAGCAGTACTCCTCTCCGTGGCCGCACCAGCCGTGGGAGGAGCAGCAGGCGCCCTTGCCGCAGGTGATCTCCTTGACGTGCTCCATGCCAAAGTCGCGGCCGCACCGCCCGTCCGATCGCATGCCGAACCACGTGAAGACGGTCGAGTCGTCGTTGATCTGCTCGTAGTGATGGAAAAAGGCGGCAAAGCAGAAGAAGGTGCCCAGCACCGCTGCGACGAGGGTGCGCTGCCGCGTGCGTCCGCTCCGCTTCAGCATTCGCACGAACGGACTCGACTCCACGCCGCGCCGCGCGAACGAGTTCATGGCGCTTTGGTGACGTGTGGTTGACAGGCTGGGTTCAGATCCGTGTGTGGATGGGAGGCATTACTCCTGTATTTTATTGCGGTCGCGCGTGATCCTATCTGTAACCGCCTCAGCCTGGGGGTGCGTCCGGGTGGCAGCTGCCCCCCGAAAATCTCCAAAATCTCAACCAACATCTCAACCCAGGACAGAAGACAGCGCGGAACGGTCACACGGGGACGGGCACAGGACGACGACACCAGCTGGACGACACACTGCTCACAGGCTATAGGTTGTGAGTCACCGACCAGGTCGTTCGTCGCCGGTGTGGGTCCTGTCCTCTGGTTCTGGTTGAGATTTTGGGGGTCCGTCCATACGATACTGTTCGACCGTCCTACTTCAGTGTCCAGACACCGACGGTGCGACGGACAGACGTCAGACCGGCATCCGAGCGGCCACGGCCGGGTTCCGCCACTCTCCTCCAGCCCCTGCCCAGTCGATCTCAAGCGCGCCAAGTCTCCCGACCAGGCCGCCATGACGTTGGTTAGTGTGCAAATGCGTACCAGTGTACCACGGTACCACCATATCAGGGAAAGACGTTACTTTACTTTCAAAGTACTTTCATTACGGCCATGACGTTGGTTAGTGTGCAAAAATGCGTACCACCATATCAGGAAAGACGTGGCAAGACTTTACTTTCAAAGTACTTTCATATGAATTTACTTTGGACCCTGCAAAACGGGCGGACGGAAAAGGCCTCAAACCGCCACACCTGCTGACTAACCTGTGTAACCGACTTCTAACCGCTATAGTTAGTCTCAGGCGTGTGTGTCGTGCGCCTCCAACCGGTATCGTTCGTCCGGCAGGTAATCCCAACTCACACGACATACAGATCCCGGACAAAACACAAAACAGATTTTCGTAACCGGGGGGCCCCGAAATCTGTTACGCCCACACACCACCCCGCACCCGCCGCGGGCCGCGACTCGGTCACGGAGACGAGAGAAAATGTTTGCCGTTAGACCGTTGACACACGACACGGTGACAGTCTGACAGACGTGACGTCGGTGACCTTGCACTCGCTTGCATGCAAAGATGCGCATTACGACCCGTCACAGCACGCAGATGTGAGATGAGGCGTGCGGCAGCTGGCAGGTGGTCGCAGCCTAGCCAGCATGTGCATGCATGAGACGGTTGCAAGTGCCGCTCCGTAGGCGCCACTTTGCATCGTAACGGGGGCAAAATCTGTACCGGGGCGTCACGTAACGGGGGCCGAAAATCTGTTTTGTCCGGGATCTGTAACTTTCGAGAGCTCGACCATGAGCCGGTCATGATAGGCTAAGCAAGTGTGGTGGGGGGGGATGCCGCATGCGTAACGGCGCTGCTAGAGATGCCTTTAGATAAAACTTCCGATGCCATGCGTGACCTAGTGCCTGCCCCCACCCACCCAGCAGTGTGTGTAGGAATCCTGTGTTGTGTTCTCCTGTGTATGGGCGTGTCCACGTTGGAGCCAGGTGTAGGTGTGGTGTGGACGCGAGAATAGCTCCGCCGTTCATGGAGGCAACCGATGCGAGTCGACTGGGGGGCGTGGAGAGAGCAGCTGAGTCTGCCTCTGCGCTCTAGCCTCGCCCCCCTCCCCTTCAGGCAGTCGCGTGGCATCCTGTATGGGCCGAGTCAGCCGCCCCACCGAGGCACCATGAAGTACACAGCGATCGTCAACTTGCTGGCAGCCTCTCTCCGCAAGGCCGACCGCGTCGAATTCATTGGCTGTGAGCCAACAAGCTGCCGAGCCCAATCACTGTGAGAGTCGTGATCCCGTGCCCAGTGTCGTGCGAGGGAGCTTTGTTGTAAAATTCTTGTTGGCGCCCGTGGTATGTACCTGTGTTAGTGCCAGTGCGCGCCAGTCCCGTGCCCTGTGTTGTGTGAGGGAATTTTGTAAAATTCTTGTTGGTTTTCAAAATCTTTCTCTCTGGTGGTGTGCCGTCGTGGGTCGTATCAAGAATACTCACTCACTCACGCAAGCAAATCTCATCACTTTCCTCCCACGTCTATTTGCACTACTAAGTTTTCTACTATAATTGTATTGCTTTGCAGCGAGTGTGCATGGAGAGAAGGAAAGAAAGAAAACGTGTACCGAGAAGCCTCTGGCCTCGCTGCTCCGGCCTCCCGGCTCCGGGGGGGTATCGATAACTCCAAGTACTCGTGTGTGTCGAAAGCAATACTTTATGTGGTCTTGGAACGCGAGCTTCAGCTTGCCCTGCTGGCGCTCGCCCGCTGCCCCGCTCCTCGCATGCCGATTTCCCTCGAGCGCCACGTGGGTGTCCGGAGTCCGGTGCTCTCACAGTGAGTCACACACACCTCACACTCCGGCCCACTTCACTCTCCCTCTGGTTCCCCGGCCGCTGGATAGAATCAAACAGGCTGGAGGATCCTTCCTCTGCTGCCGCAAGTCCATCGCCTGCCCCTCTCTCTTGGACGGGGCGGCCACCCACCGCGGCGGCGGCCCCGTGCCGTCATCGATCGCTGCCGCTCATGCCCCGACCCGCACAGAGCGGAGGGTCGAGCGCGTCGCCCGCACGCCCAGGTTTGCGAGGCCGCGGTCCGCCAGCTGCTTGACCGCGATTGGTCTCGGCTCGCCGCTCGGGGTCCTCAGGCGGGAGCTCCAATCGACCCACGCCGCATCGTCGCAGCTGAGCGCTGCGAGGGCTTGCGTGCCTCCCACGCGCCTCCACTGCGGAGCCATGTCCGGCGTCGACAGAGCGGCCAGGGCGAGCAGCGCGTCGGCCGCCAGCAGCTTCCACGTGAGCTTGGAGAAGGGGCCGTCGGTGAACTGCAGCTGCGGGTCGCACTGCACAAGGCGAACCGAAACGGAGAGGCAGAGGTCATCGGGCGGCTCGGTGCGACAAACGCTGGCTGCGCACTGCAGCACGGCGACGGCCGCCGCCGCGCACGCGCTGGAGGTGTCTTCACCGACGAGCCTTCGCGCCTGCAACGCGAACTTGGCGAGCTGCGGAATGCCTTGAGCCTCGCAGACGGCCGCGCGGGCCGGCGGGTGCAAGGATGTGCACGCCGCCAGCAACTGCGTCGCGAGCCGCTTGCTCTCGAACGGGTCGTTTGGAAAGAAGGTGACTTGCCGCAGCACGGCGATCAGGTTTTGGACGCCGCCCGCCTCGATGATGCGCTCGGGGACTGCGGGCGTCTTTGCAAGGCTCCGCAGCACCCGCAAGGCCAGGTTGGTGATGGTTGCGGTTGTCGGGCCGGGCCGGACGAGCGCAACGAGCGCCTCAATGCCGCCGTGATGCCCTGCGACGCGCGTACGATTGTCGTCGATGGGCTGCTGCGGTCGCCGCGAGGATCTGTTCACCAGCCGAAGCAGCTCGCCGCACGCCCGGCCGGCAGCTTCTCTGCCGCCGCCAAGCCCGTAAACGAGCCTGCCGGTCGTGTCCCACGCCGTCCTCCAGGCAGTGCACACGCGGGCGGCAGCTGAGCCGCCGTGGACGTGAGAGAGCACGCAGGCGATGAGGTCCGGGTCAAGCAGCACGTCCCTCACCGCCCAGTCGGGCAGCGGCGAGTGGCGGGCGAGGCAGGTGTTTGAGGTTGCGGCGACGCCGTGGTTGGATCGCGACGCCTCGCAGACGAGGCTGACCAGAGCGGCGTGCGAGAGCCGAGAGAGGCGCGCCTCGAGGCGGAGGTCGTCCGGCATGATCGGATCTTTGAACTCGTGCGGCGGCCGCGGAGGCGGAGGCGAGGGTGGCCGAGGAGGCGGCGGCGGCGGCGGCGAAGCAACGCAGCTCCTGAGCGAGACGGGACGCCGCGCAGCAAGAAAAAACTGGCAAGGCCAACAGCAGCTCCTGACCACGGCGCCGCAGGCGGCTGTTGATAGGTCCAGGCAATGCATACGCCTAGTTGGGCCTCAGATCGCCCGACCGCGTCCCGGTGCTCTGTGGTCGGATTTGTGACGCCGCACCACGCCGCGGCCGGGGGCCCTCCGGAGGCCGAGGATGGCCGTGGCGGACAGGGACGAGCTCTGGGAGGTAAAGTGTCAGTACATATTGTAGAGACTAACCATGTGCACAATATCTCTCATTCGAGCTAAGCCAGGGGAGGCGATGCCGGGGCCGCACAGCAGCTTGATGGGTTTGCCGCCGTGCGTCCCCGGAGCGGTCCCGGACGGGGGGGCCAGAGGAGGAAACTGGAGGACAACGCCGACACCCGGCTCTGATTCGACTTTTTAACTTCAAACAAAGAGACAGTCGCACGCGGCGCGGCGCGGTGCGTGCCACTGTCATGAGCGGATCCGTCGTGTTCACGCCGGGATCGTGTCGACACGTGTCCTCCACAACCTGCCCAGAATTTAGGCCACGGCGCACGGGGGCGTCCAGGGGGGGGGAGGGGGGAGCTATGACGGGAGGGAGCTTTTAGCATGTTTCACCGTGCCCCACGGCCACGTGCCAGTGCGGGTGGTGTGTGTGCAAAACAACACAACTGTATTGGAGTACATTTTGCTTGCGTGGTGAAAGACCAAGCCCCCCCACGCGGCTTCGTCTTGGCTGCGCTCTATCGGGCACGGCCCTTCACATCACTCGCAGTCCTACCCGGCGCTTCTCGTCATCGGAGAAGTTGTGGCAGTTCCTCGTCACAGAGCACGAGTAGTACTTCTCTCCGGCGTGCGCGCTCGCCCCTTGCCCCCGGCTCGATCGCGTGTGCTCCGTCGCGAGCAACCCACAATTGCCGCACCGCTGCCGCCTCGACCGGCCAGGCGTGCGGTCCGCCGCCACGTCGTCGCGGTCCGCCGCCTTTTTCGCGAACTGCATCAGCTTCTGGTCGCCAGAGAAGGAGGACCCGCGAACTGCCAGCCTGCGCTCGGTCGCCTCCCCTGTCGTCCGCAGCAGCGCCAAGAGCTCCTTCGCCTGGTCGATCCGCGCGACCGGCACTCTCAGCGGCGGCGGCGAGGCCCCGTCGTCGTCGGGCCGCGCGCGCTTCTTGGTGGGCGGCGCGGCGGGCGGCGGCGCCGGCGGCGTGGCGGGCGGCGGCGGTACGGCGGGCGGCGGCGGCGCGGCGGGCGGCGCGAGGCGCCGGTGGTCGGCGGGGTGGTCGTATTCCAACCAGTGATCCGGGTTCTTGCGGTAGCAGTTCTTGCCGTGGAGGCAAGCGGGCTTTCCGGGCGCGCGCCGGTAGGGGCTGTTGCTCGTTGCGGGTGGCGAGAGCGTGGTCGATTGACCGCCGCCACCCCCGCCGCCGCCACCCCCGCCGCCGCCGCCGCCGCCGCCGCCGCCCAGCGCGCGTTGCCGCGCACGCGTCAGCTCTTTCGCGAGAATCTCGCCGGGCAGGACCCTCTGGAGATATTCTGCGGTGCAGTGCTCGTGCATCTGGTCCGACTCGACGATGCGCTCGCGGTGGTTCGCGCCGCGCGCCAGCAAAGAGATGCGCCGGCCGCGGAGCCATCCCAGCCCGGCGGCGTTCACCGCGGCCTCGCGCAGCGGGTCGGACGCGCCGACCGAGTCCACGCCATGCACGACGCGGGAGGAGAAGGGCTCGCCGCAAAAGACGAGCACGTCGCCGGGCGCCATCGTCACCGTTCGGCAGCTGCGGCACGGCACGCGATCGGCGGCCTTGCCGCCCTTGAGCTTGGTCGGCCGCCCCTTGCTGCCATGCCGCGACGCCGCGTCCGGGTCCCACCGCTCGCAGGAGCCGGCGTTGAACCCTGAAGAGCCGGCGGCGCAGCTCCTGCGCTGCTTGTCCGGGCGTGCGATGTCCCAGAAGAAGTCGCACGGCGCGGTGCCGAGGCTGGCGAGGGCGACCCAGCGCGTGCCCGTCTTGTCGACGTGCGGGTGGTAGCCTACCTCAGCCGTACCGGCCGGGTACGAGAGGACCTGCGTCTCGACGCGGCTTGGCTTCGAGTCCTTGTCGACCGAGTCCTTGCCGAGCGGCCTGGCGGTCGTCGGCAGCGCGTCGAGGGCGGGCAGTGCGGCGAGAGTCGACGCCTCGCACAGGTGGGGCTCGATGAGGGAGAGCGCGTTCGCGACAAAATCGCGACCCGCCATATCGAGCGCCTTGCAGCTGTCCACATACTCTTCGCCGTGCACAAACTCGTAGTTGATGATGCCCTTGATGATCTGGTACTTGTCGGACGGCGCATCGGTCTGCGCCGCACCACCGCACCCGCTGATGTTCCGCTGCGGGTCCTGGTGCACCATGTGGATCCCGAGCGCCTTCTCGACGTCGGAAGCGAGGGTGTCGCCCCGTTTTCCGTCATAGTTGCGAATTAGTACAATGGGAAGGCCGGCGCCGTCCGTGCCCAGCAGCTGCATGCGACTGCGCGCGTCAGCGGCGGGCCGAAATCGCGGAAAGGCTGAAATCATGTCGCGCCAGCACCTTTGACTAACGCCGAATCCCAGGGTTCGGGGCTCTCAGCTGCCAGGGAGGGTGTCGCGGAGGTGCCACAGACTCCACATACAGTTGTAGTAGTTTTTCTCCCGAACCAGCCTGGCGCTGGCGCAGACGCGGGGGAGGCTGCCTGGTCAGTCAGCCTCGCCCGGCCGGTGCGGCCCCGCCGCGCTCAGCGTCAGTCAGGCTCCGGACTCGTTCGTTCGTAGCAGCTTGGGAAGGGTCAGGCATGGCGCCGCCACGAGCGAGTAGCGCGCGGGAGAAGCGGCTGCCGTGTCGCTCGCCCTCGAGGCTGCCCAGTAGGGGTCTAGCTCTAGGGATGCCAAAACTCGCGAGCGCTGTAGAGCGCATGTAGAGCGCGATTTACTTAGTGAATTCACTGTCAATTCACTGTGAATTCGCGTCTTCCGTCTACATCGCTCTACAACGCACGCAGTCTGTCCCGCGCCGGATGTAGAGCTCTACAGCGGTCAGCGCGCTCCAGCGCTCTCCATCCAGCGCTAGCCTATCTTTTTTTGGATCTCTACAGCGCTACACTCTCATCCTCTCACTCTCCCCCAGCGCTCAGCCGGGACCCTCTGATGAGTGAGGTCAAAATCAGCCAAGAGAGGCGGCAAAGAGTCTCTCCGTCGTGTGTGGGGCAAAAAAATACATTAGGCACAGCTTCGGCGATGGCAGCCCCTCTCTGGGGTGTTGCATAGGCGGGGAGTCTCCCCCGCTGGTCTCCTCCTTCCCATTTTTTCTTTTCTTTTGAGAGCAGGACGCCGGGTTTGTCTTGTATGTGCATGTCGGGCCTGGGTGTGTGTGAGGGGCAAAAGGGGCGGGAGCGTGCGGGGCAGAGGCCCATAACGGCGAGCGGCTTGTCGGGGTCCGGAGAGTTCGAGGCGGGAACGAGGAGGGGGGAGCGGGCGGTCGGCGTCGGGGTAGAGCAACAGGCGCGTACGGGGTAGCCGTCACTCTCCCGCCTCAAAAGGGCGGGGCTGTCCCGGAAAGTGAGAAACGCCGGGCAGCGTGGCGCATTACTGAACCCTCCCATACGTGCTCGTACTCCTCCTTTGCTGTCCCATCTCCTCATCTCTTTCCCGCCTGGGCGGGGCGGTGGGCGGGCGCGCGGTGCGGCGTGGCGTGTGCGTGTGTGCGACTGCAACGAAGGACCGCTCGCAGAGGACCATTGGGTTTGTACTATCCCTATCATTGAAAGTAGCAGAGGGGTCGCGCTACACGCTCTCCGAATGGGATTTTCTGCCCTGCCCCTGTCACGGCCCCGCCTGCCTCCCGGAGGCCCGCCCGGCCATGCAATCCGCCGCCGGACCGCCCGGCGGGTCCAACCCGAAGCGGGCGACCGGCCGTTCGCACCGCTCGGCCGGCGGGGCGAGCCCCGCGGCCCTCGATCGCTCGCCCCGGGACGTGGCCCGACCGGCCCACGCGCACGTCCTGGCCTCTACCGCCGCTTTCGGCGGCGCAATTTGCGCCTTCATCGCTCTCTGGATCCTCCTGGCACCCATCGGACTCTTCCCGACGGTCGGAGGCACCCACTCCGTGCACTTTGAGTCAGACTCGCTCTTCGGCAGGCACGCTCTTCGGCAAAAAGTCGCCGCCGGCCGTTCACGCCGAGCCAGCCAGTTGCCGGCTCGCACGGCAGCCTCTTCCTCTCGACCAGCCTCAACTTCGACACGGTCATCATTTTGTCGCTGCGTGCTCGTGGCGAGCCGGGCGGCGGTCAAAGTTTGCCCAGACGAGCGCCAGGCGATAGCAAGGTCTCTGTTCGCCCTGTGCATGTCAGGCCAGGCTGCAGCGGGGCACTACCATCGTGCTACGCTGTTGCAGCCTGACCTTTCCCACTGTGCACAGCCGCCAGAGCACCACCACCGCCCGGCATCGTGTCACGGCGAGCTCCTTCTGCACCCGTTCGCGAGGCTCTCGCGCTGGCACACTTCGGCCTTCCGCTGCTCGCGTTCGGCGAGCTCTTCTCCGCACTCCTGCCACGGTGCCGTCGCCACACACCTTCTGGCCGGCCTGAGCCATGCGGACTCGACCTCTCTCCCTCTCTGGAGCACGCCACGGGCCGCGACGGCTGCTGGCAGCCGGCCGGCGTGAGGAGGCAGTTTGCCGGCACAGTCGAGCTGGAGTATCCGCTTCTTGATGCTTCTGCGGTCAAGCTCGACCTTATGTGACATGATATGCCACAATAATGCATGCTATCACCCCTCAAAGTGTCGAAGTTTACCGGTGACTCTCCGGTGGCCCGATAGTACCGTGTGCCTTTCTTCAAACGAACGCGCTTCGAGGTTCGACAATCGCTAAGCTGCTTATGGGGCACCGCTGCGACTCCCTTGGGGATGCCTGAGGCCACCCCAAGCACTCCCTAAGCCTTACGTGGACGATTTCAACCCTACTCTGTGTTTGTTCGTCCACGCACATTAGCAACTTTGTGCTCATGTCAACGCCACGCCAGCGCTAGCCCATTCAACCCCGCCCCATTGGGGGCGGGGCCCGTCAAGGGCCTCACTCTAGTTAACAACGAAGGCAACACAAAAACAACTAATTAGTCCTTACTTCAGCTGGCATGTCGGCTGTCGGGCCTCTTCGGCTCGCGGCCGCCGTGCTGCTGATCCTGAGCGATCCTGCGCTCGCACTCGCGCAGAGCACGCGTGCTCTGCGCCCCGTGGACGCCGCGACAGCGGAGTCCCACGTCGGCGCTGTCCGACACCCACTCCTCGGCTCGACGCTCCAAGAGCTGCCAGCTCGACCCGCTTCAAACATCTGCAGCGCGGTCGAGCCGGTCCAAGCTATCGTCGAGCACCCGACGGCTGCCGCCGCGGCTCCCGAGCCAGCCTCGGCTGCCGCCACGGCTTCCGCCACGGCTTCCGCCACGGCTTCCGCCACGGCTTCCGCCACGGCTTCCGCCACGGCTTCCGCCACGGCTTCCGCCACGGCTTCCGCCACGGCTTCCGCCACGGCTGCTGCCGAGGCTACCTCGTCTCGTGTCCTGTCTTTTGTGTCTGTGTCGCGTGACGAGTCTAGTGTGCCTAGCGTGTCTAGCGTGTTTTCTACCCGCTGCACAGGTCCGGCGCCGACTACCTCGACCGTCCCACCCACCTGGCACCGTGCAGAATGGCTCTGTGTCGGACCAAAGGCAGCCACAAGGCAGCCTGTCCCTCACAGTGTCCACAACGCCGGTGGGGTCCCCTCGGATGAGGGGGCGGGGGCGGCACAACCGTCTTTCACATTGCCCTCGACGACTGGCAGAGCCGGAGCCAACCGCACCGACCACAGCCCGACCAGTAGCCAGGAAACTACCCCGCTGGGCGGGGGCCTGGTTGGGCTGTGCGAGGTGCGGCCCTCTCGGAGCCACGAGTTGTACAAGTTCATTGACTCCGAGCGCATCTTCTACCCGTCCGACGACTCGCTCCTGCCGGGACCCGGGCCGACCGGTACCGAAGGCAGTCGAGCACCAGGACGAGGAGGCGCCGTTCTGGCGTCGCCCGTCCCCAACAACTCCGACATGGACATCTTCGTTGGCGGCACGCCCGCAAACGAGACCATCACCAGTCTCTTCTCGCGCGACGCCTCGTCGGCGGGCGGCCTCTGGGACCTCTCCGACCCGCTGGGACTGGTGATGGCAAAGCTCCCGGGAGATCTCTTACTCGCCGGCCTCATGGCGGCTTACACCAAAAACGGCATTTTCGCTTCCCTGTTCATTTTACACAGCGTCTCCGCCGCGCCCAAGCCTTGGTACTACGCGCTCTACGTTCCAGGGTCTGGTTGGGGCGTCTTTTCCACGTGGGACCTCTGCGCAGCGCACGGCGCCGTCGGGGGCTCGAGGGCGCGCCACAAGAAGTACCGCGACATCCAAGAGGCGCTCGCCCACATCAACGTGCACTACCCAATCCCGACCTCGACCCAGATCCTACTCGACTTCTGGTACCCGTTTGAAGGGGAGGCAACGCCAGCCCATCCCGGCGTCCTTCTCCAACCCGTCGTCCTGAGCCCCGGCACGGTCACCACCTACGCCCAGCCAGGCAACGGCAACGGCGCCGCTGCGTCGTCATCTGCTGCGTCGTCCTCGACGGCAACCGGCAACGGCGCCACTGCGTCATCGTCGGCTGCATCGCCCTCGACCTCGCCCGGCGACGGCGCCAGCATCGAAGAGCTCGATCCATCGACATCCTCCCCCATCGACCGGCCGCCGAGGCGCAAGCGCCGGTTCGAACCGCCTCTCGACTGCCAGACAGCATCGGCCCCGCCGTCGCCGCCGCCGGTGCCACCGTCGTCGCCACCGCCACCGCCGCCACCACCGCCCCCCTCGCCGCCCCCTCCTCCTCCTCCCTCGCCGCCGCCGCCAGCGCCGCCCTCCCCACCGCCACCCCCCGGCGGCGACGCGTTCCCGGCCAACCTCTTCGCCCCGACTTACTTCGGCGTCGTCCGCCCGGCACCGACACAAGAATCTGGCTCGCTCGTCCGCCCTCGCTCACCACTCGCGGACGCTGCTGCCAAGGGCGACGCCTCCCCGCCCAGCGGCAAAGCGCGGACGACCTTCGGAGGTGCGGGCGATCCCAAGGGCTCGTCCAAGGTGCTGAAGACACACCACGACGACACGTCGGACCCTTTGTCCTACGCCGACGCCACCGCTGGCAAGAAGCGTGACAAGAAGCGCGCCGCATCGACTGCCCTCGACAAGGCGGCGGAGGAGGAAGCCCTTGCTAAGAAGCACAACGCATCGTCTGCCCTCGACGAGGCGACGACCGACGACGAAGCCCTCGCCGCCGGACAACGCCTCGCCGACGCCGAGCGCGAAGTACTAGAGCTCAACGCCGCAGACTCGCCACCACCGCCGCCGCCGCCCGAGTCCGGACCGGATCCAGGTGGCTCGATCTCGCCGCCGCCATCGCCACCGCCGCCACCGCAAGGACAGGCGTCCGACGACGGCGAGCAGGGCACGGGCGACGACCACGAACCCGCCATCGCCCCGGCGGACGACGGCGCCGACGCCGATCCGGCAGACGCCGGTGCGGCCTTCCTAGACGCCCTTCCTGCGCCTCCAGAGCATGTCGACACCACGACGGATGAGTCCACCTCGGAGGGCGACGTCGACATCGACGAGGGGCCCATCTCCCAGCGCCTCAAGCGCCGCGATGGAAGCAAGCCCCCGCCGCCTTACAGTGGCCACGACGACGACGAAGAACCGTCCGACGAGGACGTCGGAGGAGAGAGCGAGGAGGGGAACGTGGCGGAGCAGGCGGGGGGATCGCAAGCCGCCAGCAGCTCCAACACCAACCCACCTCGCCAAACCTTCTCTTGCTCCATCTGCGCCCGAGACTTCAAGACAGCCAAGTCGCTCTGCACGCACTTCAAGACGCACAACTACACGCCCGTGGACCTCGCCTCCAGTGGGCTCACCAAGTGCGAGTGCTGCGCCCAGATTTGCTGCCTCATCCCCAACAAACTTCCGGATGGCTCGGGTGGCAACGGGACGAGCATGTTCTTCAACCACCTCTTGCTGCGGACGGGTTGCAGCGAGCTGCAGTCTCTGCGCTCAAAGGCGGAGGCCAGACCGTCGCTCGCGATGGAGGTCAAAATCTGGCCACGCGCGCCAGGCAATCGCCTCTTGCTGTCCGGCAAGCTACAGGTTGCGGCGAGGCTACTCGAGGGTATCCTAGAGATGAACGAGCGAGCTGTCGTCGCGTCGTTCGAGCAGGCCCCTCTTGAGCTGCTCCGCGCGTGGCTGCGGCATAAGTATGGGACACATGCCGTTGTCGTCATCAACGGCAGCATTAAGGCAGCGCGGCGTGATCGGCTGTGCAGCTTGCTCAACGACCTCTCCTCGTCGTGCCGTGTCGCACTCCTAAGCACGTCACTCGCGGCTGGCCTCACTCTCGTCGGCGCCAACCACCTGCTACTTCTCTCGCCGCAGTGGAACCCAATGGAGGACAAGCAGGTCCTTGGGCGAATTCATCGCCCGGGGCAGACACGTCCCTGCTTTCATTATCGATTGGCGGCGTCGGGGACGGTGGAGGAGTCTGTTCTCTTGCGGCAGTTTGGAAAGCTCGATGTCCTCCGCATGCTGCAGGAGGGCAGGGCGCCAGCGCGCCTCCCGGCGGATCTGAGCTGGGCTCGCGGCCGGCGGGCTCGCGCCGAGGCGACGAGGTGTCCATAGCAGCAGGAAGCGAGCCGCGCTCGCGTGATAAAGGCGGCGCTCGGGGGGCGAGCTCCGCGTGCGTCCTTCGGCTCTGCGGAGGCGAGGCTCGCCTCTCGGGTTCCCTCGCCCCCCCGGGCAAGGGGGGACCCCGTGAGGCGTGGGAGTGCCTCGCCAGCGAGCCATCGATGTCTCTTCCCATCCGCGGCGTGCGCCACGTCATGGCGCACACCATCAGCACTGAGCCGCGGGCGGCCCTGTCGGAGGACGCCGTCGAGGCGGTCCAGGTCTGTACAGGCGAGTTCCTCAGCCTGCTCGTCAGCGAGGCCCGGCAGCGCGTGGCGCGCGAGGGCCGCGACGCGGTGACCGAGGCGGATCTGCTAGCGGTGCTCAACACGCTGGGCTTCAGAGGCTTCACCGACTCGCTCAAGAGCCACCTGCAGCGGTGCGCGGCCGAGGACGCGCAGGCGCGAGCGGCGCCCGGCAAAGCGCCCGGGCTGGCCCGCACCCCGCTCACGCCAGACAGGCCGGCCCCACCCTGCAGGCGGAGGCGTCGAAGCGCCAGCGGACCGAACCGGGCGAGGCGCGCCCTTCCGAGCCGGGGCAGAGCTCGAGCGATGCGGGGGCTGCGCCTGCATTTGCGGCGCCCGCTCCAGCCACCCAGCCCAGGCACGCCGCAGGCGTCGACGGCAGCCCCGCCGCGCCACTCGCCCCTGGCTCGCTGCCGTCCTCGACCGACGAGGCTGCTGCGCCCGAGCCCGCCGCGGGCGTGCTGCCAGCGACCGCGGCCGCATCGCAGCCAGCGCCGTCGGGAGCAATTTCCGCCATGGAATGATGCGAGAGGTGAAGCGCCAGTGGGAACACACAAGCGGGCGGGCCCGAGTCCTTTGGGCGTTCGGTGCGGCCGTGCGCAGCGTTTGTGCACCCGGGAGTGATGCATGCCGTTTCCCATGGCGCGTGCATGGCGCGTAGCTTGCATCCCGCGCGGCCGCGGCCACCTCAAGCTCAACCTCACACACAAAAGCGCGACAGTATTGTGGCATCATGGCATGCGGAGTACCTTGGTGTGGGTACGAAGGTCAAGAGGTGTGGTACACCGTATGTGGGTACCTCCATTACGTATTAGTGACCCATGTACTAAAAGCCAACATACTTCTCAGCGTTTCCACCGGCCGCGCCGGGCTCCCACGCTCGCATAGACCTCGCCGCCCCGTCAACGAACACATACGATACCGCCCCGTAAAAAGAACGTAGGCCCGTAAGCGCCGGCCCGGCGTAACCGTGCAGCTCTCCGGTCTTCCGCCGCCGCCGACAGCGTCGTCACACCCTCGACTTGCACTTCTTGCTCGCCGCGCGCGTCGTCCGCCGCGAATCGCAGTCAACCGCTCTGGGCTTTGAGCCCGGTGTGCCCCGCCCCCTCACCTTGCGGGCGCCTCCCTCCTCCTCCTCCTCCGCCGCCGCCGCCACCGCCGCCACCTCGCCGTCGTCCGGGTCGACCGACTGCATCGCCGACAACGCCGCGTCCCAAGCGCTCGCCGCGTGCTTGTTGCCGCGCCGCCACTTGCTCTCCCGCTGCCCGGAGGCCGCCTCCGGTGTCGCGCGCACGCGGCGCTGCCCCACGGAGCTGCCCTCCCTCTCAGGGCGCGAGACCTCCGGGCCGGAGACGGCGACCGACAAATGCGCCGCCGCCTCGCCCGCCGCCTCGCCCGCCGCCTCGCCCGCCGCCACGCCCGCCGCAGAGTGCAGCGCCCGGAGCGATGGCAGGTGCGGCGCCAGCGCCGTTAGGAGGAAGTCGCCTACCGCTGCCCCTCACGCTCAGCCAACCGTGTCACGCCGGGCAAGCCGTCCCACGAGGAGCGGCGCGCCATGCCGCTGTGCGCGCAACCCCTTTCCGCCAAACCCCCACACGGACCGCAGCTCCTCCATGCTCGCTGGCGCGCGCCGCACCATCTCGCACACGGACCGCGCCGGTGCGATGCTCCAGACGTAGCCTTCGCCGAGCTCCTCCGCCCTGGCGTGCGTCGCGGCGATGAGCGCCTCGTACACGGCAGCCTCGCCTAAATTAATTAAAGATTAAATTGATTAAAGAAATCCAATTAAAGCCTCGTCACGGCAGCCTCGCCCGGAAGCAGCTCGCTCGCGCTCGAGGGCATCTGCCCAAACGGCCTCGCCGCCGCCGCCACCGAGTCGGCCCCTCCCCTCCCCTCCCCCGCCTCCCCGCCGCCGCCCTCCGCCCCGTCGCCGCCCGCCTCCCCCTCTTCCGACCCCTTCGCCTCCTCCGCCGCCTCGTACTCCGCCTTTGCAGCCGCGTGGGCCCGCCGGAGCCGCGGGACGTGTGGCATCAGCGCCTCCAGAAACATCGCGCCGTACTTGTCGACGCGGACGCCCGAGCCGCCAAAGCCCCAGCAAGCGCGGAGTGCCTCGACCTCCGTCGGGCACCGCCGCACCACCTCGGCCAGCGAGCGGTGCTGTGCGATCTTGTAGCCCTCGATGCCGAGCTCGCTCGCCTTGGCCCGCTTTGCGTCGCGCAGGCTCGCGAAGGCGGCGCGCTCGCTCTCCAGCAGGTCGTCCTCCCCCTCGGGCATCGCGCCGAGCCCAAACAGGGTGAGCGGGTCCATCGAATCTGCGCCAGCGGCGGCGGTGGCGGTTTGCGTGGCCTGCTGGAGCGCCCTCGCGTCCCCGCCAACCGTGACTCTGCCGTTCGCCGTCTCGTTTGCGATGTAAAAGTCTGGGGCCTTGGCGCCGTCGACGAGCCGCGAGCTGCGCCGCTCGGGCGCCGCCAGAGGCCTCACCTGAGCTGGCTTGCGCCGCTTGATCGGCCGAGCGCTTGGAGAGCTCCCGAGCCCACTCCCGTCGGCCAGGCCAAGCGAGGCAAGCACGGCCGCGTTGCGCTTGATGTTGTCGAGCCGCTCGAGCTCGTACGCGCTGAGGTCGGAAGGGTGCTGCAGCTCCATCGACGCGATGCTTTCGCACGATTCTTCGCCCGGGGGGCGGTGAAGTTTTCGCGGGATGCGGAGCCCGTTGCTTTCGCGCCGAGCGAAGTGGCGGGAGTCTCCAGTTTCACCTTCCTACCTAACTCTCCTATCTCCTCTTTACTTGATAAACCAGCCGATCCAACAATCCTTTCACACCGGACGGTAGAGCCGAATCTGACGGCCAGAAAGCTCACCAGCCTCGCAACACATGCCATGCCCATCCCTGACAAGCGTGATCTGTGATCTGTAAGGGTCCGCCCGCAGGCGCATTTTGTATACCGAGGCGGTGCCCGGTGCCGAACCTGTCGGACCTTAAGACAGCATTGTAGATCCCTGGGCGAGGGTGGTGGCGTCCCCGTCGGGAGGGGCTGTCTGGCGGAGGAGAGCAACCAGGTGCCCGGCGGCGTCCCGCCACATCCGGATGACCTCTCCTCGTTGTGCCAGTCAGCCCCGTTGGAGGTAGACCGCTCGTCTAGCCAATCAGCCTTAAGCGAGCGGTCTGGCCGTTGGAATGGCCGAGTTTGGTGGACTTGCGTCCTCGCATCGATCGTGGTTACAAGTAAGTAGCCTTATGACTTATGAACAGAACACCCACCCTGAACCACGTTCATCGGGAGGGGGGAGGTCTATGACCTACCTAATTGTCCGGCATGCGAGGGCATGCTCGGCCGTTCGGAGTCCCCCCTTTCTTGTCACCATTCTCTCGGTTAGCGTCTGTGAACTTGACGGGTGGCTTCCGGTGCGATCCCTGCTTCCGCTGGCGTTGGCGCTGTCTCTGTGCCTTCGTCGTCGGCTCCTCGCCCTCGTGATGCTGCTGGCTCGCCTGACAAGCGTGGTTTGACTCACAGAAGCCGCAGGCTACGTGGAGACATAGCTACGTGACCACGCAAAACACGCCCGGAGACGGCTCACATCCCGATATCCCGGGCTCCAACAATGGTCCCACTATCGGGCCTATCGCGGTCCGACGCCGATCATACTTGGCTGTCCCCAGCCCACAGGTACCGGGTGCACCCAGCCTGGCCGCAGGAGGGCGGGCCCGGGCCGAACCTCCCACTCAGAGGTCCGTTGAAGTCGATCCGCGGCGCCGTCCCGAAGCAGCAGCCGCGGGAGCGGGAGCGGAGAAGCTCGTACTCGGACCGACGCGATAATATTGACGATGCAATGCCAACTGTGCGTACAATGACTTGTACACACATCACCTGGGTCATGATGGTCCATATGAAGGATGGACAGAGTCACGCACATCGCCTACACGGTCTGAGGGTGGTGAGGACTGATACATGCCCGGGTCGGGTTGAGTGCGATCGGAGAAGAACAAAGTGTGAACTATGCGCCAAATGCGCTGGTCAAGGGGATAGGAGGATGTTGTGTGTGACAGGGCTGCCTGGAGCAGCCCCAAGCTGCAGGCCTTCGTCCACAGAGACCCGTCAAGGAGCGTCTTCTAGCATTGTCTGCACGACTGTCACGGATCACGCAAGGCCGCTACGGAGACGAGCAGCTCCGAATCAGCGGCAATCCTCATGCATCCAGGCGTCACAGTCAATATCAGTGGTCTAGCTACCGCCATGCACAGCTTGACGTCGATGTCTCCAGGCTGGAGTGCATGTATCCTTTGTTACGCCGCTCGGAGGTCTGATGGAGCCGCAGAACGCCTGGGGCTGTGAGGGCGTCAGGCGGTGCCGCAGATAGACTTCTACCTCATAGCGCGCACCGATCCATCCGCGCCGGGCCCTGGCCGCCGCCAGCGGACGGTGCACCACCAGAAAGGTCACCTACAGGGCACATTGTTGGACTTTGGCGGCCGATTTGCGCTCGAGCCGCCGCGCGGGAATCAGCACCGGCAGGCAGCGAGAGCACGACTGGCGACCGCGAAGCCAGCAGTGCTGCCCCGACACATACCGGTCTGGCCAGTGCGCGAAGCTGCCGCATGCGGCCTTCCAGAGGCCGAGCGCGCGGCGATTGTTGGACGGTCACGTCGTTTCGGTTTATCGGGACGCGCCGGGATATCAAGTAAATAGGAGATAGAGGCTCAAACGCCACTACAAAGTGATTCTGTGTGAGCTCTGTGTCTTGTTTTGCCAACAATAGCTAACAAAGACGGGGTTCTTCTTCTCTAGTGTGAAGGCGGGAGGCGACGGACAATATTTTTTCGTGTTTAGCGCCAAGCCTTTTTCTTCTCCGCGATGTCCACTTTGTTGCGCCGCTCGCGCCGCCTCGCCGGCGCCGCCTCCGCCGCGCCCCCGCCAGACACGCCGCCGCCCGCCCGCCTCCTCGACCTCCCGACGGAGCTCCTCGTGCGCGCGCTCTCTCGCTGCGAGAGCCCCCTCGACATCGCTCGAGTCGCGGCCGTCTCGCTGCTCTTTTACGCCTCGCTCGCGGCAGAGGCCATCCGCTTGTGGGCGCAAGAGCGCGGCTTCGAGCTGCCGGCGCAGCCAGCGGGCGAGGACTGCGCCGTGCGGTGGCTGTGCTTCGCTGCGCTGCTGCGCGAGGCCAACCCGCCGGCGAGGGCGGCGGCAGGCCAGTCTCACAGCGTCTTCATCGACGGCGAGGGGCGGCTCTCGTCGTGCGGCTTGGCTGCGAGCGGGCAGCCATGCCTCCTCGGCCACGGCGAGGGCGTGACGCAGCTCAACACGCCGACCCTCCTCCCCTCCCTGGGCGGCGAGCGCGCCGTGAGCGTGTCGGCGGGACGCAAACACAGCCTGGCCCTCGCCGCCGACGGCGCCGTCTGGAGCTGGGGCGATGGAGGCTTTGGCCGGTTGGGCCACGGCGACTGGCAGCACCAGTGGCAACCAAAGAAGGTCGAGGCCTTTGCTGGCCAGCGCGTCGTCGCTGTGTCGGCTGGAACGTACCACTGTCTCGCCATCACCGCCAACGGCTCTGTCTGGAGCTGGGGCTTTGGTGACTGTGGCCCGCTGGGCCACGGCAACGAGCAGAACCAGCTGCTGCCCAAGAAGATCGAGGCCTTTCCTGGCCACCGCGTCGTCGCTGTGTCGGCTGGAGCAGCCCACAGCCTCGCAATCACCGCCGATGGCGCTGTCTGGAGCTGGGGCTTTGGTGAGTGGGGCCAGCTGGGCCACGGCGACCAGCAGATCCAGCTGCTGCCCAAGAAGGTCGAGGCCTTTGCCGGCCACCGCGTCGTCGCTGTGTCAGCTGGAGGCGGCCACAGCGCTGCAGGCGGCAACAGCCTCGCACTCACCGCCGACGGCAGCGTCTGGAGCTGGGGCGAAGGAGAGGATGGCCAGCTGGGCCACGGCGACCGGCAGGACCAGCTGCTGCCGAAGAAGGTGGAGGCGTTGGCTGACCAGCGCATGGTCGCTGTGTCGGCTGGAACCGCGTACAGCCTCGCCATCACCACCGACGGCGCCGTCTGGAGCTGGGGCCAGGGAACCTTTGGCAAGCTGGGCCACGGCGACGAGCAGAACCAGCTACTGCCGAAGAAGGTCGAGACGCTGGAAGGGCGGCGCGTCGTCGCTGTGTCCGCGGGAATCGACCACAGCATCGCCATCACCGCTGACGGCGCTGTCTTCGCCTGGGGCCAGGGCGAACACGGCTGCCTAGGCCACGGAGAGGACCTGTCGAACCAGCTGCTGCCCAAGAAGGTCGAGGCGTGGGCGCCGGGGCTGTAGAGTGAAGGGTGGGGGCGGTGGCCCGCCCGCCGTCGTGAGTCGCCAGATTCGACGGTCGGCCGAGCCCTAGCTAGCTGAGCGGCCTGCCAGCGTTTGAGCTTCGGCGTTGAAGAAGAAAGAAAACTTTGAACTCGGCTCCGGCAGTCCGGAAGAAAAATGCGCTCCGGAACGAACCGCGGCGCCGCCACGGACCGCAGCAGCAGCACCACCTCGTCGTAAACAGCTCACGGGTTAACCCGTACGTCGTTAACCGCCACGCGTTCTCCGACCATGGTCTTCGACCTCTGGACTGACGACAAGGCTCCCAACAACGGAGCTCATGGCGATCCGTTCCTCGCAAGCCCCAAGCCTCGCACTCAGCAGGACCGCCCGCCAGCGCCGCCGTCGCTCGGCCGTCAAGGGTCTAGTGCGGGCCCGATGGTCAAGCTGCTCCTCGGGCGGACGGGCGCGGACTTCCTGCTGCTCCTGGAGGAGACGGACGGCGCGGCGCACTGGCAGACTCGCTCGTGGAGCGAGGGCGGCGTCCCCGCCGCCCTCGCAGCCAAGCTCGAGAAGATGCGCACCAAGAACCACCACGTCAACGAGGTCAGCTTCGGCGCGGCGGGCGAGTGGTTCGTGCACGGCGTTGATGCCGGCGGCACCTCCACCTTTTCGTGGTGGGACTCGGCGTTTGCGGCGTCGAGGCAGCTGCGCAAGTGGACAGCGTTGCCCGAGAGCAGGCTGCACGTGGCGTTTGGGGACGAGGGGCGCTGGCTCATCCTGCAAGGCCACAACGGCTTCTGCGGCGCCGAGCACGTCGCCGCCGGCTTGCAGAAGCGGATCCGGAAGCTGCACGACGCAAAGGGCACCATCGGCGTCGTGCGGCTGCTGCCCGGCGGCGCCATCTTCATAGGCTCGCGGACGCCGCGCGCCGGAAGCTTCCCTGAAGCGTCCCGGTCTTCCTCCTCCAGGCGCCTACTTCATTGCCGACTCGCAGGGGTCGCAGTGGGCCGGCCTCGGAGGCGAGGTCGCCGCCGAGCTTGCGCGCCGAGGCGACAAGGTCTGCAGCGCGCCAGGCGAGCCGAGCATCGCGGCTGGCGAAGTGCTCGATGTCGCCGTCGGCGCGGACGGGTCGTGGGTCGTGCTGCGCGAGCACTGGTTCCGAGCCAGCGCCAGCGTCGCCGCGCCGCTGCGCGAGCGGCTCGGCCGTTTCTACCTGGAGCAGCGCGCGCGGCGCGCCGCGGCGCACGCGTACGAGCGGGGGGTGAGGGCTTCCGAGATGCGGATGGCTGCTCATCTGGTAGTCGAAAGGAGTGCCCGAGAGACGGCATTCCACCGCCATCCGAGCCGCGCGCCGACGGTGCAGGCGAGGGAGGCGACGGCGACGGCGCTGCGCGAGGCGACGCGCGTGTCGCAGCAGATGCGCAAGAGTGGGGGCGGCGCCGTGGGCGGCGCAGCGGCGGGCGGCGCAGCGTCGGGCAATGAGGTGTCGGAGTGGCGGGCGTTGCTGGTGCGTCTCGTAGATGCGACTGTTCGGCCCCCCGTGCTCTCTACACGCCTCGTCGTGGTCGCAGGGCAGGCAGCGCACTGAGACACACCACTGAGACTGTGCGCACCCTCGCCTCCCTGTCTTCACACCACCTTCAAGCACTTGCTGAGGGGAGGGGCCGGGCTCATAGCGGCGAGTCGAGCTCCTGCCTCTGCCCCCCCCCCGTCATGTGATATTCCCCATGCTGCCAGGAGCGCCACATCCTCGAGCGCAGAGCCGAGAAGGAGCGGGAGCTGCAGCGCGGCACCATCCTGGGCTGGCTGAGGTACTATGGCATTGCGTGAGGAGAGTCTGCGAGAGAGCGAAGAGCCTAAGGGGCAAGGGGCGTGGCGTGCTGCCGAGGCAGGTGCCGTGTGGCAGTGCGAGACGCGTCAGGTGTGCACCCGGGGATCACAGCTCACACCCGAGTCTGGAGCCAGACTCATCTAGCCTAGCTCAGCCCCGGCGGCCCCCGCATACGCGCGCCGCGCCGACCTCTTGGCGCGGCTGTTCTCCTGTGCGTTGGCTCTCTCTCGACTCTCCGCGACCGCGTGTGTGACTGTGGGGTGTGCGGGGTTGTCGTTATTGTCGAGATTTCTCTCATGAGCACATATTTGTCGCGGCTACGCTCCCCACACAGCATGACGCACCGGCGACCCATCATACACACCCAAAAGTGCAGGGGAAAAGTGCGGCTCTGCGGGCAGTGCGCAAAAGGGAAAGCAGACTCAACCCGTTTGTGCGCCCAGAGCGCGAGCCCGTGATCCCAGAACCGCGTGCCGTGCTTGGCAGCGGCGGTGGACGCAGCGGGGCCCGCGCCAAGGGCGCGTCGGGCGGCTCACTTGGCCTTGATGTGGTACGCGTAGCGGGCGCCGGCGTCCGTGTCGGACAGCGGGAAAGCGGCGCCCTTCGAGCACGGCTTGTCCACCTTGCAGCCCTTCTGCACGGATTTTGGCACGTCGCTCGCGAGGCCCTGCTTCCTCGGGTAGGGCTTCCAGATCGGATTGGCGGCCAGCGCCGGCGAGGCGGCAGCAAAGGCGGTGGTGAAGGCGCCGGCGACGGCGGCGCGCCTCGTCGTGACGGCGTCGCCTGACCGAGAAGAAGGGCGAGGTGGAGCACGCGGCGACGGGGCGGGCGAGGGAGCCGGTCCGCATGAGCAAGCGGCGAAGGGAGGGGTGAGGGAGCGGCCGTGCCTTGCGGGAGAGTCAGCGCGGTGGAGGAGCAAGCGAGCAGGGAGAGCATGGAAGAGATGCACGCCTGCACGCGGGAACGGGAGGGCCGCTCGGGAGCGGCAACCACAGGGCCGAGGCAGCGGCGGCGGGCGGAGCGGGCGGGGAGGAGAGCAGGCGCGCCGACACCTCTCCAGAATTGCTGTGCCGAGGTTGAGGGGCACAAGAAAAACGAGTGGCGAGCCCCCGGTGGTTGTCTCCCATCCCTCCCTTGGGGTGTCTGCTTTCTTTCTTTCTTTTTTGTGTCTGTTTTCTTTCTGTGAGGTCACGAACTGGACTCAATCACTCAAAGAGTGTGCCCAAGTACTCTCCTGTCCTCTCTCCACTTATATCGTTTGCCCCGGCGCGAAGCTGAGAAGAGAACATAGTCTGAGGGTATCCTAAAAGTTCGGCCGATTTGGGTCAAAACGCTAAAAGCACGCCCGGGCGTAGATTTGGGGCAAAACGACAAAAGTGGGCCCGCCCGGGGCAAAATGGTAAAAGTCGCGCGCCGCAGGCGCGCGCGAAAATTTTGGACATTCTGCTCTCCGGCGGCGCCCGCAGCGCGGTCTCCAAATCCTCGCTCGCTATAGCGGCGTGCAGCCGGCGGCGCAGCCACGCCTTGTTGCCCGAGAGGGCCTCGCCACGCTCGCCCAGCTCCTCCTTGAGCTCCACCACCTTCATCGCCACCAGATCCTTTTACCTTTCGCATCGCCGCCGCCGCAAAGAGCCCCGGGCTCAGCGGCTCAGCGCCTCAGCCTCGTGCTCAGCAGCGCCCTTATCAATGTGTGACAAACTTGTAGCGCTGCATGTGTTTGGACACACACCGGCGGGCGCTTTCGAGGCGAGCGGCATTTTTCTAGGCATAGTGTGCAGGAACTACTTCTGCCGTTTGCGGCGTTTGCGGGACGGATAGCTAGTACTTACTGCACCCGGCGCGCAGCGCCGAAGAAAAACTTGAAAAATGCTAAAAGTTGGGCGCTCCGAGACGACCAAAGTGGTAAAAGTCGCACTCTCCCCTGACCCGATCTCAAAAGCGTAAAAGCACCCGAGGCTCCAGAAACCTAACCCTCAGACTATGGAAGAGAAGCTGTTTCTTGAAACATGAAAGAGCTGCGTCAAAAAGAAAAAGGTGCGCGATCACTAGAACGTCTCGCTCAGCCACTTGCGGAACCCCACCCACCTCGCCCTCGCCCGCTGGCCGAACCTCCACCTCGCGACGGCGCCGCCGCCTCCTCCGCCGGCGCGCGGCTCGGCGACGCACTGCTCCTCGGCAAACTCCAGCGCGGCGGCCACCTCCGCGCGCCCCTCAAAGAGCCTCACCTGCGGAGGCATGTCCGACGTGACAGCGGGACGTGTCGGCGGGCGCCGCCGAGCCAGAGGCGGAGAGGCGGGGCGGCGGGGCTCTGCGCCACCGGCGAGGAGGCGGAGCGGCGAGCGGCGAGGGCGGGCACGCGGGTCGCTCCGGCGGCGCGTGCGACCGGGTCGCGGTGCGAGGAGAGCTGCGTGGCGTGGCCGAGCCGGAAGCGGGCCGGCGAGCCTGTGAGGGGCGGAGGGCGCGAGTGGTGGAGGCGGTGAGCTTGGGGGCCGTGGCGAGGGGCGGCCGCTTGAGCGGACAAGGCAAGGGGCCCTCTGGCGGCCGAGGCTGCGGAGGAGGCGCCTCCGAGGCGGGCGGCGAGGGCGCGGTAGAGGAGGGGCGGCGCCGACTCGTTGGAGAGGGAGAGGAGGCACCCGCACGGGAACTGCTCGCACCTGCCCGCGCGCGCGCGAGCTTGTGGGAGGAGAGACACGATCTCTCTCGAGGGTGCCTCGTAGAGGCCTCCTCACAAGTGGTCTCGGAGGCGACTCTCGACCCACAGAGGCGGGCACGGGTCTCGGCAATGTCTGGCGAGTGTCTCACCCGTCCCAAAAGGCGGGCAGCTGCGAGGCGCGCGAGAGGCGCACCGAATGCACCGGCTCCTCGCGCACCTGCGCCGAGGAGGAGGGGGGCGTGACGGCGAGGCGGCGGCACCGGGAGCAGCGCTGGCCCGCGGACTACCGCCCCTCCTACCGCCCCTCCCACCCTCTCCTCCCACCCTCCTCCTGCCCCCCCCCCTCCCCCCGCCGCCGCGCGCACCGGAGCCAACGCCCACGCGGACAGGCGGCGCAGCGACGGCTCCGAGGCGCAAAACTCGTCTCCCTTTGGCCACCGCTCGGCGGCGGCAGAGTCGCACTGCGGCCCGGCGCAGAAGCGGCGCAGCGTCGGCGAGCGCTGCACGCCCAGCTCGTCCGCCAGGCTTGGGTGCGCCTCGGCGTCGACTGCGGCGAGGGTGACGAGGCCGGCCAGCTCCTCCGCCAGCTGCTCGATTAGCGGCACCTGCTCCAGAGCAGCAAGTGTGAAGACAGCTCCCCCGCACATGCGGGCCGCCCCTGCTGGCCTCGTCCCGATCTCGGCTGGAGCTCGGCTAGCAGCCGTCAGATCTCGGCCGGCTCTCAGCTAGCTCTCGCCAAACCCTCGGCGTGCGGGCAGCTGCGCGCGTACACGAAGAGGACGACCACGCCGAGCCCGCCCACCAGCCCTCCCTCGCCCCTCGCCTCCCGCCCTCCCCGCCCTCCCCGCCCTCCCGGCCCTCCGCCGCCCTCCCTCAGCCGGTCCCTCAGGCCCGCCGCCCCGGCCGCGTCCAGCTGCACCTACAGGAAGGTTCCACGAAGCTTCAGAGAAGGGCCTTGCAAGGAGCCGCCCCGCCCCCGCCTCGCCAGCGGACTGTACGACGAGAAGAGGTTCCCGCTCCCGCCACGCGCACCACCGCCGCCATGACCGCCACGACCAGACCGTAGCGACGACTGAGCAAACGCGCATCTCCCCGCGCCTCCGCCGCCCCGCCCTCGGCGCTTGCCGCCGCCGCCGCCGTCGCCGCCGCCGCCGCCGTAGTCGCCGCCCGCATACGACCCGCCGTAGCCTCCGCCACCAGACCCGCCACCAAACCCTCCGCCAAACCCTCCGCCACCAAACCCGCCGCCATACCCTCCATGCCCGCCATGACCGTACCCGCCTCCATGGCCGCCGCCGAAGAATGCGCCGCCTCCGCCGCTCTGGACGACCACCGGCTCGCCAAACTCGTTCAGCACCACCCGCTCGTACCCTTGCCCGTGCCCAGGCCCATACCCGAAACCTTGCCCAAACGCGGCGGCAAACAGCTCATGCGGGTCGCTGAAGCCAAACCCAGCAAAGGGGTGGCCGTGCGCGCCGCCGCCGCCGTAGCCGCCGTTGGCGCCGCCAAACCCGCCGCCGAACCCGCCGCCGAACCCGCCGCCACCTCCGTCGCCGCCGAAACCGCCGCCACCGCCGCTGCCGCCTCCGCCGCCGCCGCCGCCGCCGCCGCCGCCACCGCTGGCGTCGTTGCGGCTACTCATCCACCGCTCGAGGCCCTCCTCTCCGACGGCGTCGTAGACGTCGCGCATCTCCTTGCTCGAAAGCACCTCGTACGCGCGGCCGGCTCGCACGAATTTCGCTTTCGCCTCCGCCTTCTCCTCGTCAGAGCCGGTCGCCTTGTCAGGGTGGTTCTTCAGCGCCAGCGCCCGGTACGCCTTCTTTAGCCCCTTGTCGTCGACGTCGTGCGAGACACCGAGGAGAGAGTAGAAGTCGTCGCCGGCGCTGGAGCAGCAGGAGAGATGGAGGCAGCAGCAGCAGACGAGGAAAGCGTGGCGCGCCTCCATCGCCGGGCTTTTTCTTTTTCTCCCGCGGCCTGCCTTCAAGCAAAACAGCGGCGTTTTGCAAGCTGTCGAATGCTGGTGGCGCTGAATCCCAAAAAGAATTCCGTGCCCGACGGCACAGAGCGCGCCATCGCAAGCCATGCAAGCCTCCGATCCGCTGCTGCGTGACACCAGCCGTCGTAGAGCCGGCCATGCGAGCCTCCGACGGCAGCTGCCGCGGCCGCAGAGCCTCGCCAGTGCTCTCGACTTTCTCGGCCGCCGCAAGCTCGCGCGGCAGCTCTCGCTGGGCTCGCTGCGCGAGCGGGTGGTGCAGGGCGTGCAGCGGCGATACCTCGCGCACGAGCTGCTGCTGCTCGCCTTTTACCAGCGCCGCTCGCCGGCGGTGTGGATCGACCCACTCGCGCGCTGGCGCAGCTTGTGGCGCACGTTTGGCACGGCGATGCTGCTCCTGAATGCGCTGCTCTTCACGTCGGCGGCGTGGGTGCACTGGCGCTGCGAGGCGACCGCCGCGCCGCACCCACCACAACTCACCGCCGCTACCCTGCACCTCACCTGCCCACCGGTTCTATTCGGCTTCACCATGCACGGAGAACTCTTCGGGCAAGTCGCCTCGGTTGAGCTTTTAAATTTAGAGCGGTCAACCACATGCTCTCTTCGCCTGCCAGGTGGATCCGCTTTGCGACGTCTCGCGCCGCCCCTGCCCGCACTACACGGGCATCGTCCCCGCGAGGCAGGTCCTCCCCACACTGCAGCAGTGCCTCGCGGGAACCCTCCCGGAGCGTGGCCACGGCTGCCGGCGAGAGCTCGGCGCTCTGGTGTCCGGCATGGCGGTGCAGTCCTTCTCGCTGGCCGAGCTAATTAACACGAATTAGCACAAATTAACACGAATTAACACGAATTACATAGGTGCAGTCCTTCTCGCTCGCCGAGCTCGCACTCGGCCTGCAGACCGCCGCCTACTACCGGCTCGGCTCGCACCCCTCCCCCGCGGCGGCGCGACGGCTGAGGCGCGGCGCGTGCGGAAGGACGCTGCGGGAACCTTCTCGGAACCTTCTCGGAACCTTCTCGGGACTCTGCCGCAGGTACGGCACGTCGGAGGGGAGGCTCGCATGGGCGCTCGTGGCGCTCGACGTCGCTCTGGCGGTGCCGAAGACCCTCTCCGACCCTTCTCCTCCTCCTTGAGCCCGCTCGGACCCGTCTTCGAGCCTGCCTGCAGGTGCCGTGGACCCTCGCCGTCGACTTGCTCCTCCTCCTCCCGTGGCGCTCGCAGCTGCAGCCGGCCGCGGAGGCCGAGGCGAGGGGCGGAGACGTCCCGGGCGCGGGGCCAGTGCCCAGCTGGCAGCGGCCGCTGCAGCGCTGGCTTCGCGGGCAGACATGGTGGCGCGCAATCACTGGCTACCGGCGGCTCGCCGCGCTGCCGCCCGCACCCTACCCGCTGCAGTGGGCGCTCGACCGCGTCGTCATCCCAGCGTGGCTGGGCGAGGGGCGCGAGGCGACGCGTCGGCTCATCCGGGCCCTCCCTTCCATCGGCGACGCCATCCTCGAGGGCGCGATGCTGCAGGCCGCCGCCTCGCGCCTCGCCCCGAGAGAGCGGACCCTCAGCCTCTCACCTCTCCCCTCTCACCCCTCGCCTCTCGCAGGCGTTCCTCGCCTCCTTCTTCGCCTCCGCAAAGGTGCTCGTCCTGCTCGCGTCGACGCTCAAGGCGGCTCGCGTCCGCCGCCGGCTCGTCGAGCGTCGGAGGACTCGCGCCGCGCGGCTGATCGTGACGGCGATGCGCCGCCGCCTCGCCCAGGCTCGTGTCTCGCAGCTGCAGCGCAAGCACGCCCTCGCCCTCGCCGTCGCGAGGCGGCACCGCGTTCGACTCGGACCTTTCCCAGAACCCTCCACGGCCCGCCCTAACCCCTTCCCCCTTCCCGCAGGCACCGCGGCGGACTCGACGGCGCACTCCCGCCACAATCCGGCGGCGGCGACGGCGGCTCGGGCGCGCGCATCCGCGCATCGCTGCTGCCTTCGATGAGCGTGCCCTCCGACCTGCGCAACTCGGACCTGCTGAGCTCGCTGCTGCCTGCCGGGGCAGAGGCGGACGCGTGGCACCCCTCCTCCGGCCGCGTGCGGGCCCGGGGGCGGGCGCGCGGCTTGGGTGGGGCGGGCCCCGGCTCGTGGTCGATAGACAGCTGCGCGAGCGCGGTGAGCGCGGTGAGCAGCACCCTGTCGGAGGAGGCGGAGGACGAGCTCCACGTCGCCATCGGGGCTGTGACCCCGGGGCGGAGGGGATGCGGGGCGGCACTCGGAATCGAGGCGAACCAGCTACGATAGCGGATCGATTACAAGAGCAGCATGAGTCGGCTGTATTCCTAATCACACTCTAAAATAGTTATACTGCGTTTCACGGGGATCGGGGTTTCTGGGCGGCTAGTTTCAACTTTTCTCTCTCGCCGATACGCGTGCTCGAAACCACAGAGCACGGTCTGCCGCGCCGAACGCACACACACGCACCGACACGCCGTGTGTATGTCTCACACCTGTGTCGAGTGTCCTCTCTCTGGGTCCATAGACAATAGACTGTGACGCATTATTTTGCGTCACGCCTATACATTGTCCGAAACTGTGTGGCGCTGGCCACGACCCCCTAGGCCGTGCCCAGCCGACAGCCGCGGCAGCCCCAGTCTGCCCAGACCCTGCACCCACCCCGCACGACCGAGCGCGATCAAGCCCGCGCCTGCTGCCACTCCCGGACCATCCGGCGCAGCGTGTGGTTGGGGGCGAGGAAGGTGTGCACGAGCGCCTCGCCCGTCATCGGGCTCGTCGACTTGGTCGCGAGCCAGCGCTCGATCGCCGACCGCTCGTACGAATGCCCGTCCGCCGCCATCACCGGGTCGCTCATGAGCTCGGTCGTGATTGGGCAGATGAAGTCGGCCGGCGGCTCCTCCTCCCTCGGAGCCGGCGCCTCTGCGGCCGAGGACGGCCCTTGCGCCTCCGCCGCCCGCCTCCCCTCCTCCAGCCTCGCGCTCTCCTCAAGCGCCGCCGCCAGCTCCGCCTCCTCCGCCGCCGCCTTGGGCTCTTGCGACGGCCCAGCAGCGCCGCCACCCCGGCCGCCCTTCTTCTTGCCCTTCTTCTTGCCCTTCTTGCTCTCCTTGGCGCGCTTCTCCGCCACCTCCTCCGCCAGCAGCTCCTCAGCGTGCCGCGCCGCATCTGCCTCCCGCGCCGCCGCAATCTCCTCAGCCGCCCTCTCGGCCTCCACCCTCTCGGCCGCCGCCCTCTCGGCCACTGCCCTCTCCACCCTCGCCTCAATCTCCGCTCTCTTCGCCTCCCTCGCCGCCGCCTCAAGGACGCACACGCACTCGGCGTGGCCCTTCACCTTGGCGAACTGCAGCGCCGTCTCGCCACTGGCAGTGCGCGCCGCTGTGTCAGCGCCCGCCCGCAGCAGGCAGAGCACGACCTCGAGGTGTCCCTCCTGGCACGCAACGTGCAGCGGCGTGAAGCCGCGGCCTGTGGCTTGATTAACCGCCGCGCGAGCCTCGACAAGCAGCCTGGCGATCTCGAGGTGGCCCTTCCAGCACGCGATGTACAGCGGCGTGGCGCCGTTGTCCTTGGCTTGGTTGATCGCAGCGCCGGCGCCGAGGAGCAGCCGGACGATGTCGACGTGGCCCTCTTGGCACGCCATGAACAGCGGCGTGGCGCCGGTGTCACAGGCTTGGTTGACCGCCGCGTTGGCGCCGAGGAGCAGCTGGACGCACTCGAGGTGGCCTTTCTCGCACGCGATGAACAGCGGCGTGACGCCGTCACCCTTGGCTTGGTTGACCGCCGCGCTGGCCTCGAGGAGCAGCCGGGCACACTCGAGGCGGCCGTTCCAGCACGCGATGGACAGCGGCGTCCAGCCGCCCCCCTCGGCCTGGTCGACCGCCGCGCCGGCCTCGAGAAGCAGCCGGGCGATCTCGAGGTGGCCCTTGTAACACGCGACGTACAGCGGCGTGGCGCCGTCGTCCTTGGCTTGGTTGACCGCCGCGCCGGCCTCGAGGAGTAGCCGGACGCACTCGAGGCGGCCCTCCTCGCACGCGATGTACAGCGGCGTGGCGCCGTCGTCACGAGCTTGGTTGACCGCCGCGCTGGCCTCGAGAAGCAGCCGGCCGATCTCGAGGTTGCCCTCTTGGCACGCGACGTACAGCGGCGTGGTGCCGTCAGTGTCTGCTTGGTTCACCGTAGCGCCCGCAGCGATCATCAGACGGACGCAGTCGATCTGGCCAGCCAGACTCGCAGCGCTCAGCGGCGTGGTGCCGTCATCCTTGGCCTGGTCGACCACCGCGCCGACCTCGAGGAGCAGCTGGACGCACTCGAGGTGGCCCTTCTCGCACGCGATGAACAGCGGCGTGGCGCCGTCGTCCTTGGCTTGGTTGATCGCCGCGCCGGCGCCGAGGAGCAGCCGGCCGATGTCGCCGTGGCCCTCTTGGCACGCCATGAACAGCGGCGTGGCGCCGTCGTCACAAGCTTGGTTGACCGCCGCGCCGGCCTCGATAAGCAGCCTGGCGATCTCGAGGTGGCCCGTGTAACACGCGTCGTACAGCGGCATGAAGCCGTCCTCCTCGGCCTGGTCGACCGCCGCGCTGGCGCCCAGGAGCAGCTGGACGCACTCGAGGTGGCCCTGGTAGCACGCGATGTACAGCGGCGTGGTGCCGTCGTTGTTGGCTTGTTCGACCGCCGCGCGAGCCTCGACAAGCAGCCTGGCGATCTCGAGGTGGCCCTTGTAACACGCGACGTACAGCGGCGTGGCACCGTCGTCCTTGGCTTGGTTGATCGCCGCGCCGGCCGCGAGGAGCAGCCGCACGCACTCGAGGTAGCCGTGCCAGCACGCGATGGACAGCGGCGTCCAGCCGTCCCCCTTGGCCTGGTCGACCGCCGCGCGAGCATTGACAAGCAGCCTGGCGATCTCGAGGTGGTCATTCTGGCACGCCATATACAGCGGCGTGGCGCCGTCGTCCTTGGCTTGGTCGACCGCCGCGCCGGCCTCGAGGAGCAGCTGGACGCACTCGAGGCGGCCATTCCAGCACGCAATGGACAGCGGCGTGGCACCGCCGTTCATGGCTTGGCTGATCACCGCGCCAGCCTTGAGAAGCAGCCGCACGCACTCGAGGTGGCCCTCTTGGCACGCAATGACCAGTGCGGTGGAGCCACTGCCCGTTGTCGCCCCCACGCTCGCGCCGCTCTCGATCAGCAGCTGCACGGCGTCGGCCTGCCCGGTTGAAGCGGCGCAAGTCAGCAGCGTGAACTGGTTCTCGGTCTCGAGCCGTGCGTCGAGCTGGGCCGTGAGCGCCGCGCCGCGCGTCCGCCCGGCGAGGAGGACGCGCAGCGAGGCCAGGGTGAATGAGGCGCTCATCCATGCATGGCCCGGCAGAAAAGAAGAAAACGCGGTGTTTTTCTTTCTCTGCGGGCGAGAGGCGCATCGAACGCAGCACGGCGGCCCCGCTAGCACACTCAACACACCAGACTGCGGACCAGAGGAGACGTAGCAAGTCGCGGAAGCGCGGCGAGTTTATTGGTTTATTGGATAATAAGTGAAACTGAGAGGATTCCAGAAGCCTCCGGAGCGATCTGCCCCCTGTGCCTCTGCCTGTGCCCCCGTCTCCGTCTCGCGCCTCCGCGTCAGAGGCCGACCGCTTGAGCAGGCTCCGCCTCCTCGGCGTCGCCGCCCTGCTTGTGGCCGGGGCGCGGTCGCCGCTCTCCCGTCTTTGGGTCCTCGACGGTCGGCTCACCGATGGTGCGTGGCAGCTTCCACACCAGGGCATGGACGGCGAAGCCGACGGCGCAGCCTCCAAAGCAGGTGCAGTGTCCAATAACGTTCATGCCGAGCAGCAGGCTGTACGGCCCCGTACCCATCGCGAGCCTGTCGATGAGCGACTCGCGCAACGCCTCGTAGCGGTACTCGCTCGCTGCGGCGCCGTCCTCGTCGGTGAAGTAGCGCTTGGCGGTCGCGACAGAGTACAAAGCGCCAAAGACGATGCCTGGCACGAAGGAGAAGAGGAAAGCGAGCGGCGCCTGCGGGGTGGCTCAAAGACGGCTCGGGGCCACCTCTCCTCACGACGTCAGTGGCGCGACGGAGAGGAGAAGGGCGGGCGGCGCCTGCCGCCAGCCGGATACGGAGCCGTCCGGCGCTCCAAAGCGCCAGGCGAGCAGCAGCAGCACGGGCGGCCCCAGCCCCATCACCATCGTGCCGGAGACGGTGGTGGCCGATAGGGCCTCGGTGTCGGCAAGCAAGTTGAGTGCGCCTATTCACACCCTCCAGCCGTGAAGAGGCTCCGTGCCACAGAGTGGCTGTCGGCGGGCAGGCGGAGGTCACCGGCAAGGGCGAGGGAGAGGATCGAGGCGCGACCCAGGGCAATGTGCGCCGACGTGACCGATGCGTCGGCGGGCGCGAGCGGGCCTCGCTTACCGGCGGGGCGCGCGTCTTTTTCGAGGCGGAGCCAGCCAAACAGCTCGAGGGCACACAGCTTGGCGCACGAGGTGAAGGTCGAGTCGAGGGTAGAGAGCGACGAGGTCATCATAACGAGGTTAATGAAGGTGAACGCCGCCGAGGAGAGGGAGCGCGCCACGTCGACCGGCGCCCCGTTCTTGACGGCGCCTGCAACGTAGCAACCGTAGATGCCAACGGCAGAGAAGAGGATGATGAAGGTGGCCGCGATGGCGCCGCCGACGAAAAAGGCGGCGAGCATCGTGCGCGGGCGCGAGAGGAAGGCGCGATCGGTGAGGACTGGGTCGTGAAAGGGGTATGAGGTGAGGCCCTGGATCAGCGCGGCGCCGAGCAGCGTCCCGCCGCCGTCGAGCCAGCCGCCGGGCGGACTGAAGCTCCACACCTCGCCCAGACCGCCCGGCATGTCGTCCCCGATCAGGCCAAGGATCGAGAAGAGCATCGTCACGCCGAGGAGGGCCTGCAGCTGGTCCGAGACGAGCGAGGCGCGCATGCCGCCCATCACGACGTACGTTGCGGGCACGGCAGTCGACAGCGCCACCGCGATCCACCAGTTGGTGGAGTGCACCTCTCCATAGAAGCTCGCCACCACGGACGCGTTGGACCAGACCTCGTTCCAAAGCCGGAAGAGCAGCGCGAGCGAGAAGCACCCACTCGCCCACGGGCCGTAGCAGCGCTCGACCGCCCTCGGGAGCGAGGTGAACCCGTGCCTCGTCCGAAGCACGTACCCGACCGCGGCCGCCGACGCAAAGGACGTGTACCAGCCCGCGTAGCCGACGCCGCCCAGCACGCCAAAGTAGCCACCCAGCACCGCGGCGTTCTGGATTGACTTTGCAAAGATCCACGTGATAAAGGCGGACGGCATCAGCGTCCAGAACCCAACCTCACCGCGCGCCAGCGGCTCGACCAGCGCCTCGTCCCTCCGTGGCGCCGCGCTGCCGAGAAAGATATAGCGCAGCTGCGTCCAGACGGAGTCGCCGCGGCCGAGGAAGAAGGCGGTGGCGGTGTCTGACATTTGCGCCGTCAATATGAGCAGACCGCTGTACACATAGAGGACGTACCAGTTGGTCGCAGCCTGGGTGCTCTCATGCTCACCGGTCGCAATCATCAGGCTGCCGAAGACGAGGCAAGCAAAGACGAGCGCGCGCCACCGCAGCTCTGTCGTGGAGGATATGCGGGAGGCGCAGGCGCTGAGCCTGCCGCAGCCATGTGCCATAGGTCTATGCATATGCCGCCGGCAATTCTCACCGTCGACAGCTAAAACCTATGTCCAGTTAGCACGCGCTCGCGGGCTAATATCCGGCGCGGACAAGTAGCGCGAGTCCCACACACGCCCCTCCAGCCAACGCGTGGCTCTGAAGTCGCTCAAAGTCGGCGACCGCGCTGACTTTTTCTTATTTGGGCATTAGACTCATCGCGACTCGACTTTCTTCCTTTCTAACACAGGGCCCATCCGCAGCTCGCTTTTCTTCTTCATCGACGGCGGAAAACGCCCGCCGTCGCCCGTCGCGCACTGCGCCCTCGCCCCGCTTTGTTATGCGGCCACTCCTGCCCTGGCTGGCTGCCGTGCTAATGATGCAGGCGTGCTGCGGCATCGTCCACGATCACGACTTTGCAAGCCTGCAGGATGCGGTCGGCCGCCACCCGCGCATCATGCTTGTGCTTCACGACGGCGAGTGCCAGCCGACACACGAGCTCACCCCGTGGCTGTACGCCATGTCGGAGCGGCTGCCGGACCTGCACATGGCGCGCGTGAACCTATCCAACACGACGGGCAGCCCATCTGTCGCACAGCTGCTCAACGTGGATGTGGAGAGAGGCAGCCCTCAGGTCAAGGCGCTGGTGCGAGAGGCGCCGCCGGGCAGCAGGGTGGTGGACTACGTGGGCCCACTGTCCTTCAACCCCCTCCTGAAATGGGCCACAGCAGTGCTGCACGGCACGGACAACGAGCACGCCACCCCAGGCTACGAGCCACCCGTCGACGAGGGGAAGATTGCGCGGGAGCGGGAGCGGCGCGAGAAGGCCAACCGCATGAGCACGCTGCCAAAGGGGGTGCGACAGATGGCAGAGACGATGATCAAGGAGACGCGGCTGAAGCAGGTGCTCGATCGAGCTGGCAAGCTGGATGACTACGAGGCGGACGTGGCGGTCGCCTTCAAGAAGTTGGTTGCGGAGAACAGCATCGAGGCGGGCGCGGATTCGTTCAAGACGCAGGAGGCGAACCGGATAGCGAGGGACATTGTGCGCGAGCGGCTGCTCAAAACGGCGCCAGAATACATCCGAGAGCGCGTCAACGCCGATGTCAACCTCGGCGATGGCAACGCGCGGGCGGGCCTCGCCCCCGCCAACCCGTTTGCCGGGTCGGTTCTGGGCAGGGGGAAGGACGAGCTGTGATCGGGCGAGGCACAGTCACCTTCAGGGCTAGCGTGTCGCGTGGCCGTTCCCAACCGAGGTTGCCTGTGCCGGGGGCGGTCGAGTGCACGGTGCTAAGCGCCTCGCCGTCCTCGTGTTGGGACATGGGATCCAGTCGCTCTTTCCGTCGTATACGCGTTAGGCGCGTGGGCTGCAACTCCGGTGGCGGTGCCAGTGTCCAGCCCCATGGCCGCCCAGTGTGTGAGACTGTGTAAGAGCGATAGCTCCACAAAGACCGCATAGGACCTGCTCCTTTTTACCCATCTCCTGGGCGCCGGCTTGGGTTGTAAATTTTTTTTGAGAGGAGAGCGACGAGACGAAGGATGAAGCGACAGGAGAGGCTAGCCAGAGGCGAGAACGAGAGTGGGACGACCGCGAGGTGGCATGAAGGTTGCAGCGAATCGGCGAGGGACTGCGAAGAGGGCGCAGGTGGGGGACGGGAGTTCCGTCGGGTTCCCCTGCACGAGCGCGACAAAACGCGAGAGTACCCCGGAGAGGCGATGAACGCGCCGTGGCCCGTGCGGGGCGCCACCCAAAAGTAAGCCCTCACAAAATAGCCTCCGCGCGGCGCCTGCCGAGGTGGCGCTCCATTCGGTGCGCGAAAAAAGAAAGAAAGAAAACAGATAATGGTGGGATGGGAGGACGGCACGCCGCCACCAGAGGGATTCGGTGCGCGAGCCCGCCCGCGCGGCGAATTCTTTTGGGCTGCGCTGCTCCAAGCGCCGCGCTCGCCCATGCTAGCGCGCGGCGCCAAAAGCCTCAGGGCCTCGTCGCTGCGGCCGGCGGGGCTTCGGTTGGCGTCGGGCGTCCCGGCCCGCACGCCCGAGCAGACCGAGCACCTCGAGAAGCTCGCCGAGGAGCACAACGGCTTCCTGTTCGGCGAAGTGGTGCGCGCTGCACGCGCCTCGCCTGATATGCCCTGAACGCGCCTCGTTCGTGGCCATCCCCCCGGGGCGGCGCTGCGTTTGCAGCGGCTAACCGCTCCGCGCCCCTCGCCCTTGTCCCACAGCCACCACCTCCCGGCGAGAAGAGGAAGAAGGAGGACTGGGAGTACTACTACCCGCCCCTGATGACGTCTGCGCTGGCCCTGTTCCTCTTCACGTGGCTCAACCAGCCGCTCTCTAGCGTCGAGGACGAGGCCATGGAGGAGGCCAAGCGTCGCATGGGCTTCGAGCCGGATGTGCATTTCAAGCAGTAGATTGTCGTGATCTCTCAGGGGCCGCCTAGGAGCGACCCCTTTGTGCTAGGAGCTTGTTTATCACCACACCTGACAGAGTTTCTCAGCGCGATCCGAGATCCGAAAGCGGCTGGACCGCTGTGCAGCCCCATCCACACGATACACAGGGCGGCCAGGCCGCTCCCACGTCCCACCTCGCACCTGAGACCTGTCACCTGTCACTTGACCTCTCGAGATAGTGAGATACGGAAACGGGAAAGCCGTTATCTCAACAGGTTATTTTTTCACACACAAATGCATTCGCACAACATAATCATGACGCAGGCGCGGCATCACCGCTGCTCGCCGAGCACGCCGCCCCGCTGCCCCGCTCGCCCCCTCGGCTCGCCGCCGCCGAGTTGGCGCAGTGGAGGATGAGAGCGCCGACCGCGTTCCAAGCGAGCACCGCCACCACAAAGACGTACGTGCCGGGCAGGATCCGCACGCGGATGCCGGCGCACCCCTCCGCCTCGTCGTCGGCGGTGTAGGAGGCGAAGACGTCGCGGTAGCGGCGCGCGGCGGCGTCGATCGCGTCGCACTCGTGCCCGATGATGAAGTGGGCGAAGCGGTCGAGCTCGAGCGAGGAGGCGACGATGGTGAGCACAAACACGTCGGGCGCTGACCACGCGTGCACCACCTGGGGCAGGGGGCGAGGGGGGAGGGCGAGGGGATATGTGGATATGGGGGCGAGGGGGAGGGGGGGGGGAGGCGGGAGGCAGGCCGGGGAGGCAGGGCGGGGGGCGGGGGGAGGGAGGAGCGGTGTGTGCGCGGCGATCACGGGGCAGGTCGCGAGCACCTCCGTCGCGACGAGGAGGCGCCGCTGCGTCCGCGGCTGCAGCGGCGCCGCCCAGAGCAGGGCGAGGCAGAGGAGGAAGAGGAGGGGGAGCGCGAGGAGGAAGAGGAGGAAGAGGAGCTGGATGAGCCGCATCGGGCCGACGCCCGCGATCGGGGAGGCGGTGGGCAGCCGCTCCGCCATCGACAGCACCGACCAGTCGTGCTTGGCCTGCGGTGCGGCGGCGGGAGGGGGCTCGGGGCCGCGCGGGAGAGGGGGGGTGGGTTAGGGGGCTCGCCGTGGCGGCGGCGCACCGTCTCAGGCGGCAGCAGCTTGCTGGCGAGCCCGACCACCTCGAGGGAGAAGGAGCTCTCGTAGCAGGCGAAGAGGAGGAGGAGCGCGCAGGCGGGCAGCGAGAGCAGCAGCAGCAGCTTCGCCGCCGCCGGCAGCTCGACGTCGCGACGGCCGAGCAGCCGCCCGAAGCGGCGGTGGCAGAGCGCCTCGGCCGAAGGCGGCTTGGCGGGCTCGGGCCGGGGCGAGCCCGGCGGCGCGGGCGCGGAGGGCGCCGCCTCCGCGCCGCCGGTGTCTGCGGCGCGGCTGTGGAGGGCCGAGTCGGCGGCGGCGGGCGGCTCGCCGGCCGGCTGGGCCGGCTGAGTCGGCAGGGCCGGCTCGGAGTCTGGCTCGGAGGCGGCAGGCAGCGGCAGCGAGGGAGGCAGCACGAGCGGCGCAGTGGAGCTGGCGAGACGGGATGCGCTGCCCGGCGAGAGGGGCTGACCCTGCCGCGTGGGGTCAGCTGCGGCAGCGCGGGCGGCGCGCTGCATGAGCAGGAGGAGGTGCGAGATGAGGAGGGAGGTGCAGACGCCCGCAGTGAAGAGGTAGACGCCCGGGCCAGGCACGACCTGCAACAGGGCGGGCTCGCCTCGGGTCAAACCGGGGCCCATCTCGACTTCGTCCTTCGGGTGAGCCTCGGGTGAGCCTCGGTGCGCGAGCCTGCGAGAGGGCGGCCACGAGGCGCGGCGCCGCCGGGCTGGTCGAGGGCAAGTCGAACGGGATGTGGAAGGCGACGGTGAAGACGACAAGCATCATCGTGTCGAGGTACGACCACTTGCCGAGCGCGTCGACGGCGCGGAGGAGCCGCTCGCGCCAGAGGGGCGAGAGGTGCGTCGCTGGCGCCGCCCAGCAGAGCGCCATCAGGCTGAGCTTGATGTAGGGCCACACGCCGGACAGGAAGGCGATGAGTGTGGAGAGGAGGTACGCCTGGGCTCCGCAGGGGGGCGTGAAGCGCCGTGTATCACACGCCGCGAGGCCGGGGGAGGAGGGGTGGGGAAAGTCTCAGGCAATCTCGGGTAATCTCCGGCAATCTGGGGTCATCTCCGGCAATCTCGGTTCATCACAGGGGGCACGCCTGCGCGCGCCACATGTCGGTCACCGTGTCGACGAGTGCGAACTTCTTGATGGTGGGGAGCTCAATCGAGTCCCCCGCCACGGCCACACTCAGCCTCACGGTCGCGCCGGGCAGCACGTTCCCAGCGACGAACAGCGCGACGTTGGTGCAGATCAGCAGCGGCAGCCCGTACCTCGCGAGCCGCACCTCGCGGTATCGCGAGGCGAGCGAGTCCGCCTCGTACTCCCACGCCCGCGCCGGCGGCGCCTCCTCCGCGGGCGCCAGAGCCGCGGCGCGAGGGCCGAGTGCCGTCAGAGCGAGGGGCGAGGCCTCGAGCAGTCTGGCGCGCAGCGGCTCCAGCCAGCGGCGGCGGCGCACGCAGCCGCTCACGCCGGCGCCGCAGAGCAGCAGGAGGAGGAGGGCGGTGCCCGTCACCAGCAGCAGACCGCCCGCCTCGGCGAGCTGCGCGGGCGGCGGCGGCGGCGGCGGCGGAGGCGGAAGCGGCTCCCCCTTGCAGCCGCGGTGCGCCGCCGCGACGGCCGCGTGCAGCGCGTCGTTTGCGAGGCGCCCGAGCGGCAGAGTGACCGACGGGGCGAAGGCGCGGCCGGCGAGGACGGCGGCGCGGCTCTGGCCCCGCGGCGTCACCTCGAGCTCGAGGCCGTCCGAGCCCTGCGCGCGCAGCGACGTGTCGTTTGCGGCGAGGTCGAGGCCGACGACGTCGCAGAGGAGGCAGCTTCCCAGCGAGGCGACCAGCTCGCCGAAGGTGGTGGCGAGGAAGGAGCCGCTGTCGAGCACCAGCCGCGTGCCCAGCTTGAGCACCGCGGCCCGCACCCGGACGAGCACCTCGTACTCGTGCGCCTGCTCACACCCACGCCCCCTGTGAAGCCACTGCGATGGGGGAGTCCCCGAGCCCTCTGTGCTCGTGCGCGCCGCCGCCCGGCCGAAGCGGACCGCCGCGCCGAGACGCAGCTGCAGCGAGCCGTTGCGGCCGCCGCCGCTGCCGTTGCCGCCGAGGCCGACGCGGTGGTGGAGGAGGTGGCCGTCGGCGGAGTCGGGCCTCAGCACGTCCAAATCGAAGAGGGAGTCGAGCCCGCGCACATGGAGCCCGTCGAGGCGGACGGAGATTCGGCCGAGCAACTCGTCCGTCAGAAGGACGTCGAGCAGCCGCGCCATCCGCAGCTCGCCCGACGGCAGGACGCGCCGCACGAACCGGTCGACGCCGGCCGCGCCGTACGCGTCCACCGTTGCGCGCGCGCGCGCGAAGGGTGCCGCGGGCCCGCTGGTGTTGCGGAAGTCGACGATAGAGGGGCGCGACGGCACGCGAGGCGGGCAGCTCGGCGCCT